AATACTTTCTCAAAGATCCCACTTTTTATATATTATTTCCTGTACTATTTTTAGATCTATAAAAATCAACATGAAATATGAGGGGCACTTTTACATCCTTTGGATATAACAAAGATCAAACATTCAGAACCAAAGATGAACATATGATAGGAGAGTAAGGACAGAGTATCGGAATCATTAATGAGCAAACAACTGTTTCTCAAAAAAAGTACAACTGCAGCTAACACTTGTAAGTCACCAGCAGTACTGAATCCGATAAATCTTAGCAATCGCAATAATCATTATAAAGTACATCCATTTATGACAGGTCCAATCACAGACTACAGGGCTGTTTTCATATTAATCGTAACCTTAAAAAATGGTTTTAAAAATGATCATGGATTAACCACTGAGTTGTTTAACCTATTAACGACCCAGTGGTCTGCAGTCACACATCATGCTACTCAGCTGAGAAGGAACCCATCATGGGTTTATACTGTCAAGTGGAAGAGGTGGGCACATTTTTTAAACCAATAAGCCGATATTACACATGAACCAGGTCATCATTTTTTGATGGAGACAAGTGTCTGAAAGGATGCACAAAATTGCTCAAGCTGCACATTCAGAAGCAATGAGTCTAAAATACAGAAAAATATTCAGGAGCAGCTCTTCATATTGTCAAGAAAGAGATTCACACATAGACTGTACAACCGTATATTAATAGATTTGTGAAATTGCCTTATTTAACACAAAGTTAATGACTAAGGAAATACATACTATATTGACTTTGCTGCATTGTGGGGTCTAGAAATAAGCAGAAGGTTAAGTTGACCTTAGCTGAACAATTAGTTGAGCAATTGAACAAGGGCTCCAGGGAGGTTCCATCACCTTCCTTCTAGAAGCAACTCCATGTTAATAAGTACAAGCTGTCATGAGCCACAGTTCCTCCTCTGCTCATTCAAAAACCACAGTCCTCTTTATCGACTAAAAGCACAAACCACCCAGAATGAATCTCTGAGCATACACAGATTGGTTTGTTGAACCCAATCTAGTAATCACCTCCATGAATTCTCTTTATGAACATGCCTGGGCACCTTCCTTTTCGGAGGGGCCTTCTGAAAGCAAGCATTCCTCCTCTGCACTTCTGCTTCTCTAATCTCATGTTTTGGCATGGCCCATGCTCCCAAATTAAACCCCAGTTCTGCTTCATGTTCTGATACTTCTGAACCCCTGGCAGCAGTCCTTGAGAACGAGCACCCAAAGTACCCGTCTTTCTCACATATTATATCAGTAATTCTTTGAATACCTTAAGCCATAATTACAGATAATACTTCCAAGGAGCAAAATAAAGTAACTATGTGTATGTGAGGGGGCCATATATAAAAGTATTGCTTAAAAAGCCTAGAGGTGAAAAATTTACTTCATATTTACTAAAATGAGGCTCATCACTTACGAGCCCTAAGGACAAGTGTCCATTAGAACTTCTTTTCCATGCAAAATGAACATTTCCATCTTGCTCTGCCTTCATTTTCAGGAAGAAGACTTCATTTTGTTTTAAAACATTTGAATAAAAATAAAACTATTTCAATTCTGGAAGGTTCACAAAGAATATAGACCATTCCTTGCCTCAAAATCTGAAAGAGAGAATCTCTCCTCACTTGCATTTGAATGATATTTTCATTCTGGTCTTTTAAATAAATTTTCTCATTTTCAAGCTTGCTTTATATAGAGGAGTTATTAAGAAAAGTTGCACCATTACCACTTAATTAATCTTTGCTCTACTAACAGATAAACCAGATGTGCTATTATGTCTTTGTTCTTCTCTACATGGAGATGAGCTGATTATTTATCTCCAAACAATAGGAGTTTGTGTATAACAGCAAGATTTTTAAAAAGAAGAAAAACAAGTTTCAGATGGATTTGTTTCATGGAAAAATATAGACACAACTCAGGGGAAGTATTTTTTGTGCAAGTCTCACTGAAAATGGGAGCTGCTCTGTTAAGACATGCCACCAGTCCAAGGTTTGTACTAATATTTGTTTAGAATCCAATCTATTGTTTGACCTTCCAAAAACCTCAAAGCGTGGTTTATCTATTTTACTATCCTCTTGCTACTCAGCTTCCACATTTTGGGGTGCAGGAGCCCTCAGTAGTACAGCCATAGCCAGCATAAGGATTAAACAATTCAAGCACCACACCCGCCATAGTTAACTTTATTTAACCATAGTTAGTGTTATCCCTAAATTGATGCAGTTGTAGCACTTACACTGGTTACATTTATGTATTTAGTTTTAGGTATTTCAATCTCTGTTGCTGAAAAACAATAAGTAGTACGTTTTCAAACATCCTTTTTAAAAATAGACTTCCCACTCCATGGCCACATATACATACTAGTAATTGGGAAAAAAGACACTTGCAATAAACTCCACACAAATTTACCAGACTGCAGAACTGAGTACACATAACACAATAACCCACATTCAAGGGTTCAAACTGGACTGAGTGTGGGTTGTGTTGAATTAGGGGCTTTTGTTGAAACATGGCATATTCCACAAGCTGCCCTGAGGCTTTTTGCAAAGGGGGCAGCATAAAAAAATGCTCTAAATAAATAAATAGCTGAACCCAGCTGCCCTAACAAGCCATGGCTTGTTAACCATAAACGACCCATGTTTTGTTGCTAGGATGTGAACGGTGTATTGTTCACCATGGTTGAATCTTGGCTGGATTCAGACAACGTAGCAACTCATGGTTCAACAAAAATCCACACTCAGCCCTCTTAGTATGTTATCTAAGCCTATTTGGTAAAGACTGCACAAAGGCACTTAATACAAAGAGAAGGATCAGCTAGAAAATGGAATCAAATTCCACAATCAAAGACTTTGACTGGAACACTATTTCAGAGTCAGAGCAGAAATATTATCAAAACTTGATTGCTGGCTTGCATTTGGAGATTCATTTACTAAAGCAGCGAAGGAATTTCCCCTCCCACCATGCATAATTCTTAGGCACCAACAACCATGCACAGGGCTAAGCATTTATTTTAAGAACTTTGAGAACTACATAGTGGTGTGTCTGTTTCCAGCATAGCTCTTTTCCAGTCTAAATGTAATTAAATGGCAATGAAATCCAAATTTTCAGGTAAGACCATATCCATACCTACATGCTCAATGATAATATGAGATGGTGTATCTTCAGTTTCCAAGGAAGACAGGACATAATTTTCTAAATTTCTCTTTAATCTCTACTCAAAATCAAAAAGGAAAAAAGAATCTAAGGCCACTCTGATAAAAGTTGGAAAATAGATACAAAAAGTGATATCAATACTTTTAATGGAAGCATAACTCATAATTAGAATGATTCATTGAATATAGCCTGATTATCTGCAAAATATAAATGAGGAAAACAATGCTTCTATCTCCTGATGAGAAGTATGTTTTAAAATCATTTACATGCATGTGACTTATTAGTTATTGCTTCCTATCATCTTTAATTTGTAAAAATACAAAAAACAAACAAAAATTACACACACAACCCACCATCCATTTTAATTAGAAATATGGTGTTTTTCTTTTTTCTTCATTTTCTTCTTCTTTTTGTTCACACCAATGGCAAGCCTTGATGTTATTCTATCAGTAATTTACTATAAAAAGTACAGCCTGCTCATTTTCTTTAATGCAACAGCAGGTTCTTTCAAAGTGCCACATTTCATACTGAAGTGCTAACCAAAGCTACCATGCTGCGCTTTCTACACTGTTCCCACTTCTAACTTGAATGTTCTTGCCATAATTGTCACAACTGAAAAGTTTGCAAGAAATAACAAGAAAATTGGGGGCTTTTAAAACTTCTTTTCATCACTCCTTTTTCCTAAAATACATAGTATACGTAAGCCAAATGTGTTGGTGCCTAACCTAAGAGGTAGATTTTTTTTTGCAAACTGCTATCAAAGTCAAGGTCAGACTTCCATAAAATATTTCAGTGATGGAGGACTTATTCCATTCAAAATCATAGTCCAGTCTAATTATTTGTTAGAAGGGAAATACTGTCAAACTATTCAGGCATTCCCAATGTAACAATGTTCTAGAAGGTCACTGGGGACTGACCATTTATGAAGACAGCTTGCCATTCAAAATCTCACAAACACAGTAATAGTGTGCATGAGCCACTGAGAACCCTTCCTGTGCAAGAAAATATGGAGACTCATAAAAGTTCATCTATACTCTTGTGTGGAACCTATTTATTTCTTATAAAGGAAGATAGGAAAAGAACCAATTTGGGATGCAATTTACAGCATCAGTAGGAAACAAGAATTATTGTAGCTTTTACAGGGCCTAGGAGAAGCCTCTAACTATCCAACAGTATCCCAACTGACCTATTTCTTCAAAAGACATGCAATAAGCAAGGCTTCCTTCCAGTCCATGGAGACCACACCACAGACTGCTTCCATGGACAAATGAGACAGAAAATCCTAAGCTTTAGGCCTTGTTTTGGAAACAAGAGGTTATTTATATCTAGCAAGCCCTTTGGATGGAAATTTTTATTTTGCTGAGTGCATGCAACAAGTCTCCCTCATTGTGTTTAATTTCCACATAGACTTTGGGAAATAATTAAGAACATCATAATTGGAGCTTGCCAAGTTCCATCCATTCAAAACAGAAGAAAAATCATGACAGGGGGATAATCTGTCACATTGTCCCTCCTTCAAAAGCCCAAACATTTTGGTTGTTATTCAGATTGAGTCCCTTTGGCTCACTCCAGCTGGAAGCATGGTGAAAATGCTGCTCATTATTTTGACTGAGTCACATCGGATTAACATTCAGCATATCAGTTTAAGTAATATAGCAGTAAATATGAAATACACTCCTAATCAAATCAAAAGCTTAAGTTATATTTCATGGCTAAGTTTCACTTAGCAAGAATGAAGTCCAGCACAGTGGCTCATCAAGAAATCCTTTGTCATGATGACTAAGAGCAACAGTGTTGGGGTTTTTGTTTTTGTTTTATAATTAAAGGATACACTCAACTTTATGGCTTAAGGTCTGTGGCAATGTTGTAGAAACTTAAATACTAAGAGTTAAACTGAGATGAATGTATGCACAAGCCAATGCTGGAAATGTGCAACTTACTAATAATTGGGTACAACAAAGTTAGATATCAACAGGAATATGCTATGGGAATATTAATAATTATACATCATCAGAGGAATAGATTAAATAACACTTTTCTTTTTTTGGCATCAGTATTTATCACAGGAATAAATTAAACAGCCCCTTTCTTTTCAGGTATCAGCATTTTTCACTCACCACGGATATGAAAGTCTTGTACTATCCAAAAGAAATTGAGGGAGCCATGAAGATATGAAATAGTATGTCTATGTATTCTGATAACAGTGCAAAAGAGCAATTTATGAAGAATACAGGAAGAATCAAATGGAATGAAGGACTGAGTTTTCTCTCTTCAAAACAGTTGCCAGTTTTGAGTAGAGCAATTCACTGAATGGTGTAAACTGGGGTAAACTATATTTAAATATCCACCAGCCATGAAGCAGCTTTGGTGATTCTTCATTGGTAGCAATCTCTTAGCATAATCTATCTCTGCCATGAGGATATCATCAAAAACCTCACAGGAATTGCCCTGAACATCATATTTGGATATAAATGTAAAAGATTTATATAGCCTTATGACCAACCCGTCCAGATCAGATGAAAGTCTAGGTTAGTGTTCTCTGTTCAAACTCTTTACATCTTTGCTACCCTAAAAATAATGTGTTTGTGGAATATACCCTGTAACTGAGGACATAAACTTTACATGCATCTACAAGCTCATTACACAGGTTCAACCAGCAGTGCAGAGTTCTGTCTTTTGGTTCTATTTGCTAAATATTAGAAAAATGTATCTATGAAATTATAAAAGACTTTGTCTACTCTCCTTCTCAAGAATGTAGCTACAGTTTAGTGCTTACCATCAATTTCCTGTTATCCAGTTTAATGTGTCAAGAAATGTTATCTGCTTACAGAAAATGAATTCAGGGATACATAACAGAAACCCAAGGGACATTATTTAATAGCTACACAAAAATATCCATTTTTTTTATTTCCAGACACAAGTTTCCTCCTCATCAACTGTAATCATCCAGTCAAAAGTGATATAATATCAAGGTAATAAGAAACTGAACATTTTCCAGAGTACATCATCCGAAAGAAAGAACCCTGTATAAACTAGTCTTGCATAGAGAAGACTAATTTCGTTGCTGCTATTGTTAAACAATTGGAAGTCAGAATCTTGCTGAATACCTGGAGATTTACCAAAATACAGGCCCACCTTCTATTAGTCCCTGTACTCTATTCTTTGCTTTCCCAAATTATACTGTAAAGCTCTGTTTACTTCTAGTACTCAAAAAGAAACCTAGATTTATGTTTAGTGGTATAGAGCAAACCCAACTATAGACATTAGAATGCTAGGCTATGGGAGTCCCAACAGGAGCAGGCCATTTCCAGTTGTGGTTAGAAACGTCCATCTTATCTTCCAGCGTGCAAGTTTCATTGATTTGTATCAGTATGAAGTAAAAGCATCACTTGTTCACTCTCCAATGATCAAAGCATTCAAATGGCTAGGGGATATCCCAATGAGCTAGAGCCTCGATAGATGCTGCATATGTGGCTCAGGGCATGTCATTTATTTGAAAATTTGGAAAATGGCAGAATTTTGCACTTAACAGTCAAAAGCTGGGGCATGGTGTTTACCTCATTACAGAAGCAGTATACCAGCACAGAGAATGCCAAATGATAAACAGGAGTGTGACTTCCACCACATCTTCAAAATTGGATGTGGGGAAGGGGAAAGCCAGTTGCAGGAAGAACAAAGAACTATGTTTGCGAAGGATATGCATCATGTACTTGCAATCCTGTAAGGTCAATATAGTATTGCAAAAACATGTGAAGAGCACTTCTTTTACTGTTACTATTTAAAGTGATTTTGGATGGGCACCAAAGACAGATGAAAATTTAAAAGGGACAATCTTAAACACTGAACTGGAAGTTGCACCTTCATGTCTAAACTGCTTCAGTTCTACCAAACAGTCTGTGAAATGCTTTTTGGCAGCCACAGATGGCTGAATATGTACAAACTAAACAAATTACATTTTAACTCTTTGAACCTCAAAGTTCATTTACTGAGTCTTGAGGAAATAAATGATAACTGACATCTTGAAGCTTTAACTTGAACTACACTAGATCTTAGAATTGGGAATGAATTAAAAATCTGTTTCTTATTATTCTACTAGTGAAGAAAATCTTTCAAGAAGAATAAGACTAATGAGGAGAATTCTGCATGAGAGAAACACAGCAGAGATATGAGACAATCTAAACATCTATCAATGATATCTGCTGGCACACACAGTCATCCTTTGCTAGTGATTATCATTCTCAGCTGGAATTTAATAAACACCAACCTGAAACTGATCCAGTATTTCTAGAGAATGCATGGTGAAAACAGATTCAAATATAATCCTTAATGGGTATATAGCACCTTCACAAGAAGTTTGTGAAACAATTGCAATCATATTTTATTTACCTGTGATTACAATAAAATATTACCTAAAGCCATTCAATTAAAATCATTTCTGACAATATATGAAGCAAAACAGCCTTGTAAACAAGGAGTCTTGTTCACTGCAGAGTCAGGATACTTGTGTGACATGCCACATTCCCATCTAAAGTATGCCATTAAATATGACTTCTCCAGCTACTATTCCCTACCACCACCACCACCCTATCTATGTGGTTTCTAGCACACAGCAAACACTATCAATAGGGTTTCTAACATGAGTTTTATCTATCCTATCCTCACTCCTGCTAGGGTGGGAACTGGGTTGGAAGACCCACGCACTAGTCTTCACAAGCATCACCCTGGTATAGTCTCTCCCCCCGCCCGCCACACACGTGCATAGGAACACAGAGTAATGCGGGACAGCACCACAGAAATAGCTCCAAGGCAGCTCTTTGTGCATGGGCATGGGCACATATTGGGCTTCTGTTTATGGACACACTTTAGACTTCATTGTGTTGCTGTAAATGAAATGAAAAATAAAATAAAGGAACATTTTAATCAGTTTCACTTTGTTAAAGAATCTGCCTAAAATGCAGTTTGAATTCTTTGACAAAACTGCCATCTAGTGTATATTCTGAAACAGAAAAATAGCAAAATCTACAAAAATTGTAGATAGTACTGTAAATCTATTGGAAGAAATCCAAGAACTTCAGAAGGATAACATCTTTATTAGAACCAAGTAAAAATTCACAAAGTATTGAACAACCTTTTGAGTTCTCCAGAACTCTTTTTCAGATTATTATTATTATTATTATTATTATTATTAGATCTTCAGAAAAAAACATGTTAGGATACATCAAGTATCATTATGCAAATCTTAGGATCTTGGAACGGCAACAAGATGATCTTCTACCCCTAAAGATAGTACTCAGCTTTTGTAAAGTTAACCATTATATGTATGTGTGTGTGTGTGTGTGTGTGTGTATTCCCAATAATATTATTCAAGAGAATACTTCAACTGAAGACTTTAACAGCACTGCTATCTGGCCAGAGGCTGTTCCAGTAATTGATAAAATCCTAACCTTTTTGAAAGTCTGGATGGAATTCATTTTTGCCTCCATAGCAACTTACAGCATGGCAGTCCAAGTCTTCTTTTTCCCATTAGACCAGATATGGTATGCATGTTAATTGCCAAGTTTTTAGTAAACAGATCCTTGCAATTATTAACATATAATGCACTATCTCCTCTAAATAGGCTTCAGCAAGGGGCGGCATAGAAATGTTCTAATAATAATAATAATAATAATAATAATAATAATAATAATAATAATAATAAATCTCTAGGAATCTAATCTTTAGTGTATGAAATTACAGCAGTTCAGACACTGTAATTTCTCTGAAACTGTGTATTATCTCTCCAATATTCTTCAACAGTATTATAATGCCACCATAAATTCCTCTATCATTACACCTTCAGCACTTGTTACCACTGGAAACATCCTACACATCCTGACTGCTGTTTAATGCCACATATAAAATAGTATATAAGATGCTATTAGTCACACCTACTACGTTCCTACAAATCCTTAAGCAGACATAACTATATTGCTCCTCTAAGACTTCTTCTTGTACTTTTGTTTAGTTGCCTCCATTCCATTATCATATATATTTATATACTTTTTCGTAAATTCAAGTTTAATAGCCTCTCAAAGAAGCTTGAGTTCTCTTCCCATGTCTCTTCCCCTAATTACTTCTTGTGTATAACGTCTGATTTGCAAGCACCGAAAAAGGGGATTAGGAACAGAGTTCCTATGAGAGGATGGCTGATGTCACTGTTGGGGCACAAGGCAGAAGTGGTCCTTCACAGTAAGATGTTGCTGTAGCACACCCAACAAATTGCTAGAGAGAACATTACTAGTTGCTGTCTCACTACTGCAAATGTCTCTTCTTTTGGGCTCTCCAGAAGACCTGCTGGAGGAGGGTGAAAGGCAACCTCTTTGTTTTGTATATACCAGGGGTCTCAAACTCGTGGCCCGCAGGCCAATTGTGGCCTGTGGGATGATATTTTGTGGCCCCCACTTGATATCAAAGTTTAGTGATAGCGCGGCCCGCGTGTTTTTCTCACACGCACCTGCGTGAGTCGTTACCCTGGGCACAGTGTTCCCTCTAAGCTGTGCACTGGGACGGGCGGGGCACGGGGGAGGGGCCCTGCGGCCTTCAAAGTGCTGGCGGCACCTGGGCCGGCCTCTGGGAGCGACGCGGGATGAGCGGCCCACCACCCCCGCGGTGATGGAATACTTGATGCGGCCCAGCCTCACCCAGACTCTACTTCCAGCGGCCCCCAGGTAAGTTGAGTTTGAGACCCCTGGTATATACTCTATTACCATCTAGTTTTTGAATACAGTTTATTTTCTGCATCTTCATCTTTCAAAAAAGTTACGAAGTATTTTTCTGGCTTGTTACCAAATTCAAACATTCATTGCTTTGACCAAAACATGCTTTGGCAGCCAAACAGGCATCCATTAATCTTAATATATCACTGACCAGAACTTAATACTTGTGTCACAGTTTGAGTGTGAAGCCAGTTGGAGTGGGGGTGGGGATAAGTACTTAAATGTTGATTACACCTTGCTTTAAATCTTGGTTGAAAATGGCATTAAGATGTCCTGCCCAGATGTTGTCTTTCATCCAATACTAAAGCTGTAAAATTGAATGTCTCTAAAATTGTGTTTGTCCTGATTTTGGGGCATATATACAACCTAAAGTTAAGTTCGTCCTTTCTAATATACCCTTAAGAAAAATTAAATGCATTTCAAGGTCTTTCAGTACTAAGGACCAAAGGATGTTTTTTCCTAGAGGCCATCATAACTCATTTTGTTTAAATAAAGATAGACAAATGATCCATTGAACACTGTCCTAAGATACTTTTCATATTCTGTTTTCAGTTTTAAGATCCTGTTTAATCTCCTTCTGTAAGAAATATTAAGACCATCTATGTTTATTGATAAAAATGTACATTATCATTGCTGTCAATTTATATATATATATATCTAGAAACAGAGACAAATTGAAGAAGATAGACAAGAACATAAAAGCAACTGCACATACAGCATTCAATGAAATGATGACACACTAACGTAAAAAAAAAAAAAACCCTCCATAGTTCTTATGCACGTTTACTGCGCTTGATAGCTAATAAACCAACATAGTCTAAGACAGAAATAAAGATAATTTCTAGCTCCTCATTCTTCAGTATGCTACAAGAAATATTATGTTTTACCATGTTACTTTTCTCACTGGCTTCAAATATAATTGAGCTGCCAAAAATCATTAAATTTATTTCCAGTTTGGTTATTATTGATGCTTTATCCAGTACACCAACTAAAATTATAGTTCAGCTTTATTAATAAAAGGAATATTTATCTATCTATTTAGATAAATATTTATCTATTTACTATTTCTATATTGTCCAATAGCTGAAGCTCTCTGGGCAGTTCATGGCCATACATCTCTCTAATTTTGCATTCTGCCCCACAAGGGACCTTTATACTTCACTTAGTGCTGGAGAGAACTCTGAAAAACTGCTGGTCTGTAGGGGGAACGGCCATGGTTGTTGCCTGTTATTCAGCCTTGCTCTAAAAGAATGTCACATCTGATTTTCCAACTGACATTGGATGATGGCCACAATGTCTGGATAATCAAATCTGAATAAAAGAAAAGTTGCTTACCTAAGTATGTGCAGGTATGAATATATGAGAATGTACAGTTAGTCTGGATAATCAAGACTTGAATAGGTTCGAGTAGAATAGGCTCTACTTTGCTTCTCAAGTGTTGGCTATTAGAAAGCAGCAATATAAAAATTGAGTCACTACCATAGAGCTATATAGAAAACATGTTATTTCTGCTTTCTGCAGTGGCCTGAGTCATATTCATATATAAGAAGGGGAAAGCCATTAGGAATACTAAACCTGTGAAGAGGAAACCAAGTTCTAGAAAAAGTTCTAGTGCATCCGTGTTCCTCATAGGCAGACAAAAGCATTAACCCCCTTGCATCACATTTTGACAGGATTTCAGGAGAGGGTGGTTGAAAATTGGTATAGTTCAGTGGCTGAAAACACTGCTGGCAGGCAACTAGACTGGGCACCTCTGGGGTCTAGTCCATGTATGGGCACAGAAAGCCAATCTTTTGGACTTGGATAGATCCAGGCAAAAGTAAAGATAACTCTGTAAGTCTTCCGTAGTAGTAATGATACTTGGACATTCTCCCAAACTTCACACACTGCTTTGCTCCATCTTTGCCAGCCAAGTGTTCACTTCCCTTTCAGTTAAAGCATGTTTCTAGATGAAGTTCCCCTATAGCAAAAGGCCTGCAAAAGCCTCGAGTCTGATTTGGTTAAGCACCTGCTTTGTACCTCTAGTTAAATGACCTCCAGTAATAGGGCTGAGAAAGATCTCTGCCTGAGTACGATTGGAAAGCCAATAGTACTGAATTGTCTGATCCAATGTAAGGCATCTTATTTTAATAACTGTGCAGACAACTTCTCTGTCAACCAAAACACAACTTAGAAGGTGGCCTTGTGTGCTCTTAGGTCTGCAACTTCTATTCAATGTGAAAGGCAATGTTAGTGCCCTTAGATCTGCTTTTGTTTAGTAGGTTATGCTGCCATCTAGTGAAAAATCACAATAAAAATTTCAAATATAGTAGTAATAGACAACTAAGTATACATATATTACACACACACACATACACACACGCTAATACTACCTTTATATATCTAGTAAGACTTAAAGGTTTGGTGGTGGTGGGAGGGGTCAAAAGGAGAATCCAGTTATCAAGGAGGAACTCTACCAACGCATTGCAAGAAAAATTGTAATCTTAAAGTTACTCAGGTGAGAAAGAACAAAGCTCTCTGAGGTGGTCAGAAGTTACACATTGAACAAACTGATGCATTCATAGATATCCAGCCCATTAATGTGATTCATGGTAGCCACTTGGAAGCAGCTGCCACGGACTGCGAATTGCAGGTTCCTGAATTGCTTTAGGAGTTTAAACTGTTCTGAGAATTGGCAAGAGACACTTTGATCCTGGAAATGTTCTGAAAGTTCTCGGACACAAGAAGTGAGGTGAATGGTGTTCCTAGTACATACTACTTCAGGGGCAAAGAGAAAAAAGTATTACTGGCAATTTTTCAGTAGGTTATACAAGATGCTACAAGGGGGGGGAACAATGTGTTTTGTGCTGTCTGGCAGCACTGGCCAATTGCATCTGTTTGGAAAAGATAGATTTTGGAGGTTTTCTGGAGAAGCCAGTTTGACATTCATAATTATGCTTTGTAATAGATGAGAGATGCTTTTTCTTTTGGAAGGAAAGGAGCTGATTCTAGTGTCTGTCACACTGGTTGCCAATAACAATAATTCTCATTCCGTATTCTAGGGTACCTCATAGGGTACCATGTAAATGAAGAGACACCTTTAGTTGGGGTCACTAGATACCCTGAGTATTTTTCACTTATATGACCTTGTCTAAAGCTAGTTGCACTTCTCTGTTGCAGTGACAAAGGCAGAAGCCAAGATACATGAAAGCATGACCAACCTTTTTGAACTACTCATTCTTAAGCTAACCCTTCTTTTCCATGCTCCAAGATTCTAAAACCCTTGCATAAATTTGGAATACTTTTAAAAACAGTTGCTCATTTAGAGTCAATGGACAATAATCCAAGCATGCACATTTATTATCACACAAGTATGTTATTCAGCTTGCTACAACGTGGTTATTATATCCAGGTAATCAGTAGTGACTGAACACAGCAGATGGATTTTACACAGCAAATACTTGGCTGAAGTCTGCACTGAGAATACTTTAATTCAAATCTTGTAGTCAACAAATGTGGTGTGGGGGAGGGCCAAGAGCATGAACTTTGGAAGTTTCTATTACTGACTCTTATTCAATTTCTCATTACACGTATGAAGTACCTTGCTGTGAATAGTTACGGCACAACCCAAGCTTGTGATTATTCTGTAAAAACAGCTCAGTTTAACTCACCTGGGAAAAGATATTAGCAGTTGGAGCAACTCTGCTGTCAACAATGCTGTATAATATTGCCAACAATCTGTCCAGCGGGAATGGCTTTGGTCCAAGAAGGTGATTGCTGGTCTGTTTTTAAAAAAGTATTTTCATTAGCTGAATATTCTTTAAAGTAATCAACCTATTTTTTTGCAATGTCTACTCAGAAATATGCCTCACCAAGTTCAATGAACCCTCACCCAAGGTAAGTACAAATAGGATTGTGACTTTAATTTTCTTTCTTAAAAAACATGTTCTAGCTGGAGAATACTGGGAGTTGTGGGACTTACTTCTGGCTAAACATGCGTAAGATTGCATCCTTAATTTACTGCTTGGCTGATTATAAAATAATGGGATTTAATTGAACATTCTTTACCCATATTACTTTTGCCACTCAATCATAATAAATGAACAAAAACAGGCTATTTTTTCCATCCTTCCCTGGATCATGAAAGACTAAAGATGGTATTTACATCCTTCAGAAATGCTGTTCAGATTAATCAGAACAAGCAAGGAGAAGAGCAGTAGTTTTGCAGAAGTCAACAATAAATGCCTTTAAGATCAATTAAATCCTGCACGAGAGGCCCTAGATTCCTTTTTGCCATTTATCCCCTTAAATCATTATAAGCTCTCAATGGTCACACGCCTATCTAGTATGATCTGGTATATCTGTGGAAGAGATGTTTTCAGCAAAAAGGAATTTGTAATGCAGAAATACCAAAGAAGAGGGTCATTTTCCTTGGAACAAATATTTCAGCTAGACAGGTACATAGTCCTCTATTAAGAAAAGAACATCTGTGTACAGCATCTTCTTTTAACTTCAAGATTAAAATAATTATATATTTAGTGGAAAAAATTATGGGGCCTTGGAGAAATATTCCTTTCTCATCTGCCTTTTTCATGTTTTGTTGTGTTACCATCTGGAACTGAAATGGATTTAATTACCATTGTTACTAGTTGATGTACACCAGATACTCAACAGTGTTCGAATGCAAAGTATTTTTTTATTGTGCCACAAAAGTAAACAAAACCAAACTGGCACTAGGCAAAACCAACCCAAGACTTGGACTATCCATGACTCATTCCCTTTGTCATGAGTTTTAAAAGAATCACCACACACGTCAAAGGTATTCATAACAGAGAAAACCTTTCCAAGGAAGACTAATGTCAGCAATTGGACTCCAGTGTGAGTTTTTTAAAAGTCTACACACAGTTTTCTAAGATCCTTATTTTGGTATATGCCAGAATTTTTTCCACATTAGGACAGTTCAGTTATTTCCCTGTGTTAAGCTTACTTTCATCTGATATGGATTCTTGGGAGAGCAGGGAGGAAGGAAAACCAAGAAACATCCTTTTTGTTCTAACCAGGGGTCCTCTGAGCTTGGACATGACAGAAAATTCTGATTATTTTAAAAGTAGATGCAAAAACATCATTTTATAGCTCCTTTGTCTTCATGATGCTCTTTGTTTAGATATGCTCTTCAACAAACCCCGGGGCTTTAATGTGTGGTCACTAGAAGTGGGTTGTTGTGAGGATAACATGGAGAACAGAACTATGTAAGCCATCTTGAATTACTTGGAGGAGGAAAAGTGGTAAGACAGAAATCTCATATTGATTATGACTGAGGTCTATAAATGGAGGAAGGGGGTAGAAATGATCAGCAATTGTAACAAATCATTTGTCCTATGGTTCCTTTATTACAAATACAAATTTATGAAATATAAAACTGGGGACAAGGAAGTATTTCTTCCTCACTGAAACCAGTATTCTATTTCCACTTCCCTTTTTGCAATACACATTAATTATTTTTTCTGGCAGCACAGCTGTAATTAGAGCAAGATCTTCCCATATACACCCACCCGGACCATAAGCTCATCTAAGGAGATCCTTCTTTGGGAGCCACCTTTAAAAGAAGGAAGGAAGGTGGGCACAAGGGGAAGGACCTTCTTGGCTGTGGTGCCCTGACTATGGAATCAGTTCTCCAGGGAAGTGAGCCCGGTGACAATGCTATATCTTTCAGTGCCAAGTCAAAATGTTTTTTTATTTTAATTTTCCCAGCATTTTAATTGTTAAATAATGCCACTGGATTTTATATTGGTTTTATCTATATAGTCATTGGGATTCTGTGATTGGTTTTATACTTGTATTATACTGTTATCACTTATTGCCATTTGGATATCATGCTCCAATGAACATTATTGCCCTGTTGATAATATATGTATATTTGCATTTAGTTTTCAGATTGTTTTAATTCTTGTACACTGTTTTGAAAGTTGTTTGCTAATTGAATTACTTATATCAGTTTTAAATAAATAAATCTTCAGGCAAGAAAACATGCTTCTAAATCTTAGGGAAGACCAACTATCTCAATAGAAACTTAAGCATTTCCGCTGTGCAAGTTACCTGCAGCCCTTTAATTTTAACACAGCTGTTGAGTGTGTATGGGGTGGGGGAAGAACCTTCCTTCCTTCCTTTCTAATTTTAGGCCGTTTTCCATATTCTCCATAATGTTATCCATGTAATATATTACTTCTGCAATCTATATAAATTGTACAAAATGTTTATTCTGTTAGTGTAGTACAGGGTGAAACAAAGCAATGGGCAGGGCACTGAAGTTTGCTTCAGACACCTAGAATGCTTGCATGTGAGGAATTCCATATGCATGCCTGGGCAGTCTGGCACTGGTTGGGTCTTTCCGACTCCAATGAAACAAGTTACTGCTCAAACTAAAAAGGCTCAAACCTTCAGTGACAGAACCTGCTACAGCAAAACCATGTTCCACCTTACAGACTGCTGTTTCATAACAATGCCAATCATATATTCTTCAATCAATCTCATGGTATTATTTAAGCATACACCAAACTGGAGAGAATCTATAAAATAACATCTCAATTCCGAATATATTTTTTTCAGAAATAGAAACCTGAATACCTTTTCATGTTTTTTCTGAAAGTTTTTCTTCCTGATTTTTCCATGATGCTGCAAATGAAAGAAAAGAGTCAGTAGTTCAATTGTAAACTAACAATCATGCATACTTTTATAGGAGGAAAACAGACCAAGTACTACCTCACAACTCATATCTGTGGCTGAACTACTCTATTCTTGAATACTTAATTATTTCAGGATTATTTCTATTTATTTTTCACAATGTATTTGTAGAACAACAATGCTGAAATATGGCCAGGTTTGGTATTCCTATGGTGCCTCACCCGCTCTTAGATGTCCACTTTAACAGGGTGAGGGAGTTTGAGAGTGTCAAAGAAGCCGAGAGCAATGCTGTCAGGAGGCCAGAATAGTTTCACTAGGCTGGTCTCCTAGCAGGGTCACCCAAAGCGGGATGGTCACATTTGAAAGGCTAAGATACATCCACCCTCTTCAGGAGTAATGGTCACATCAGTAAAAAAAGAATGGCTCTTATTAATGGTGATGCAGGAGGATAAATGTCTGAAGGACAGCAACTGGGCAGCAGTGGTATTTGAAGAAGACACCGGTGGACAATCTTTTGCAGACAACAGTAGTGACGCTCAAGCTAACTCTAGTTAATATCGTGCAAAAGGAGAATGCAGTAATTCACTTTTGAATTTTCTTACTTTGAGAACCCCATGATGAGACAACACAAAATGAAACAAGAGATGAGAAACCCCACCCCCCTGCCTAGCTTGGGAGACATTTTGTAAGTTACTGGGGAAGGGCAAAGGACAAGTGCAAGTGGCGCTCTCACTAACAATGCTATAAATCAAACCTGAAAGGAAGATTACTGGGTGACATTCACAGAGGTGAAGGGAAGACCTGAGTTTCTCCCGGATGTGCCATACATTATTTATTTATTTAAAACATTTCTATGCTACCCCCATCGCAACAAAGCCTCGGGGCGGCTCACAACAAAAACAAACAAAAGCATATAAAAATTATACAATAAAAATATTAAAACCCGGTGCATCTCGGCTTAAAAATTTTTTTGTTAAAAAACCTACATAATAAATTAACAATTAAAATAAGTTTTAAATAAAAAGGTCTTAGCCTGGCGCCAAAAAACAAATAACGACGGCGCCAGGTGGACCTCTCTGGGGAGTGCATTCCATAGGTGGGGCACCACATGGTTTAGTAAGGAGATGGGTCTGTGACCCTGAAAGACAAGACTATGCCAGCTCCTGTTTACACTCCTATAAAATGTGATAAGGGAAGTTTTTTCCCCTCAGGGCTCCTTTTTGTCTCCTTTGTGCATGCAGGCCCTTTTTTTGTAGAATAAAGTTTTTTCCACCTCACACCCTGAAAAGTTTGATTGGCTATTGCACCTGCCAGGACCAAATCCCACTTTTGTGGACAACAGAGATGAAAGTTAAGTCTGACGCTGCACAACACTTACAACTAGAACATGGAACATAAGAAGTATAAATCAAGGCAAGCTGGAAATTGTAAAGCAAGAAATGGAAAGAATGAAGATCACAGTACTTGGTGTGAGCAAACTAAAGGACACTGGAATGGGACATTTTCAATCAACAAACACAAAGTGTTTTACTCTGGAAATGACAAACTCAGAAGAAATGAAATGACTGTAATTCTGAGGCAAGATGTAGCACAGGCAGTAAGACAACGCAAATGTGATATATAATGAAAAAACTGACAAAATAATATCAATAAGAATAACTGGAAAACCTAACAATATAACTATCATTCAAGTCTACACTCGAACAATAGAAACTGAAGAAACTGAAAACTTTTATGCAGGTGTTCAAGAGAAAATTGATGATATACCAAAACAAGACATACTGCTAATCCTAAGTGATAGGAATGCAAAAGCAGGAAACAAATAAGAATCAAATATTGTTGGAAAACTTGTCCTGGGGTAAGAAATGAAACTGGAGAACAACTTGTAGATTTTTTTTTTAAAACAACCTGTTTTTTGCAAACACATATTTCAAGCAACTTTCCAGAAAACTGTACACATGGACATCACCAGAAGGCCAATACAGAAATCAAACAAGTTATGTAACTTGAAGTAGAAAATGGAGAAACTGTATTCTTGCTGCCAAAACAAGACCTGGAGCAGACTGCATTAATGACCGTCAGTTCTTGATTTCAAAAATTAGAGCCAAGCTAAAAAAGATCACCAACAGAAACATAGCGCCAAAATATAACGTAAATAATACCCCTGAATCCACATAAAGAACAGTTTTACATTGCTCAACTTAATTGACCACAAACCAGAATAACTGCAGACTCAAACCAGAGACATTACTAGAAAAGAATTCCAAAAGACAATTCCTGCAGCAACAAGAAAGAAAAACCCTAAATGGATGGCAGAAGAAACATTCACAGTTACATAAAATAGATGAGAGATGAAAGCAAACAGCAAACAGGTCAGAATCCTTAATGCAATTTTTCAGTGACTATTACATAAAGACAAAAAGAACTATTATAACAATCAGTACAAAGGAAACAGAAGAAAGCAACAAAAGAAGAAAAATAGGAGAGATCTTCTAGAAGACTCAAGAAGTTCAAACATAGATTAGGAATGCTAAAGACAAACTAGGGAACATAGTATCTGACCAGGTGAAAATAAAGAAAAAGTAGAAAGATTATGCAAAAGAACTACAGGGAAGAGATGAAAGGATGATAGACTTCTATGAAGAAGAGTCTGCAATATTAGAAAGAAAAATGAAAACTGTTCTGAAAGCTCTCACAAAGAATAAAGCATCTGGAATAGATAGGACACCAATGTAACTATTCCAAGTGGCACAAAATGAATCAGTCAAAATCCTAATAAAATATGTAAACAAATATGGAAAACAAAACAATGGTCCTTAGACTGGAAACATTCAATATATATTCCAATCCCCAAGAAAGGAGTTCCAAAAGAGTGCAGCACTAAAGTGAAAACTGGCAGGAGAAACATCACTAATTTAAGATATGAATATGATACCATAATACTGGCAGAAAGCAGCAGTGACTTGAAACCACCCCTGATAAAAGTAGAAAAGCAGGACTGCAGCTGAATGTTAAGGGAGCAAAAAAGATGCCCACAGAAGAATAACAGAACTTTACTGTTAATAATGAAGAAATCAAAATTGTGAAGGATTTCACATATCTTGGCTCTGTCATCAACTGAAAGGGACACTGTAGCAAAGAAATTCTAAGAAGACTGAGACTTGGAAGGGCAGCAATGAAGAAATATTTATTTATTTATTTATTTATTTATTTATTAAAACATTTCTATGCCGCCCCTTGCCAAAGCCTCGGGGCGGCTCACAGCACAAAATAAAATACAATAAAATACAAAAATAACAGTATAAAATTAACAATATAAATATAGAAGATCATAAAGTGTAAAGACATTTCACTGAAGACCAAGATTATCCACAGTATTGTATTGCCAATCACAATATATGGGTATACAAGCTGGACAGTGAAGAAAGCTAACAGGAAGAAAATTAATGCATTTGAAACATGGTGCTGGGTGAGAGCTTTGTGAACGCTTTGAACCAATAGAAAGATGACAAGTGGGTCCTAAGTCAAATCAAGCTAGAGCTTTCCCTAGAAGCAAAACTGACAAACCTGAGGCTATTATACTTGGGACACACAATGAAAAGGAAGACCGATTAGGAATGAAGGCAGAAGACGAAAAGGCCAAGTATGAGATTGATTTAATCCATAAAAGAAGCCATAGTGTTGAACTTGGAAGAGATGAATGGAACTGTCATGGACTGGACATTTTGGAGGGTTTTCATTCATAGGGTCATCATAAATTGGAGATGACTTGACTGCAAATAACATGTTTTTTTCAACAATGACTGAGAGTGTATATCAATGGAAAGATGCAATCATCCTAAAAGTGGATGGCAATTAGTAAAGATCAGAAATAATTGTGTGCATTCATCAGAAAACCATTATCCACAACCTGAAAAGCCATTTCATTAACTGAATTTATCCCATTTCTATACTGCCTAACAGCCTTAAGCTCTTTAAGATTAGAACCATGCAATATAAAATCCTAAGGAGAAAAAACCACTGAAAACAGGAAAAAAACACAATAACAATATTACAAAATCCTAAAAAGCAGTAATTCCTTTCTTAAGAACTAAGCAATACAAAGGGCTTCCCCGAGTACTAAGAAAAGTGCAACATGGGCACCAGACAAGCCTCCCAGGGCCATGGGGGGCATTCCACGGCTGACATGCCACCAGTGAAATGGCCCCCTCTGAAATATGTCGTTCTTCCTTGGTCAACTATTAGAGCAGCTACTTGAGAGAAAATATTTTTCTTTCTATCAACTAACAAGATGAATCATCTACTGCTTTACTTTAAAAATGCTGTCAATATTTCCTTGCTTCTTTATCCAATCTAGGTAAAGTAAAACTGTTTGAGGCAAGAGCCAAAATTCACTTTAGCCAATTCTGGGCCCTGTTCAAAATAGCAAGTGATGGCTGGCTGGCTGGCTGGCTGGCTGGCAGAGGTAATTGCCCTGGAGTGTTGCCAAGCAACTGTCTGTAGCACCTACCACCCAAATGGGAAGTTGCTTCAAATTATGATAATTATCTACACTAAGCCAAGTTGTTATCTTGCTATGTCATTTTATTTTAAAGATTGAAAATTATTCATAGTGATTGAAAAAGGAACAAGAATTACATATAAACTGTTACATTTATATTTACATAGACATATGTTATATCCAACATTATAAGCATAATAAAAATAACATCTTAGAATCCTTTATTTAAATCTGATTATTTAGCCTTAATTTATGCTTTTTCTCCCAGTACTCGAAAACAGTACCCACTGATCTGATGTCCTCAATTTATTTAATTTTTCCTTCTCTAAATCTCAGATTATATGTTGGTTTTAAGCACATTATGGCTGACCAACATCACTTTTCATGGGTCCTCACTGCATTGTGGGTTGTATCCATGATTCAACCTTGCACTATAGTTTAATGAAGGGTTGTTAACCAAGTACAACCTGGGAAGAGAGCACATTTGTGGTTAAGTTGTGAACTCTGGGTTGTTTGCACAACCACATTTAAACCATAAACTTTTGTATGTAAAGACAATTCACAATTCAACCACAACCCATACTGAACCCAAACTCTAGGTTATGTATGAACCTGAATATCAGCAGCTCTCCAGGGTTTCAGGCAAGAATATTCTTTCCCCACATTACTTGGAGATGCAATCACTAAACTTGGAACTTGTTCTCTGCCACTGAGTTACAGCCAACCCATTCCAGAAGTACCCATTATATAGGCTTGGAATACATATCTGGATACATTTATGCCATGCTCCACAGAGTAAAATGCAAACATGCCAAGATCTTACAATTCTGAGAAAGGCTGTCACAAGGCAACATATTTGTGCTTCTACACCATAAATATGTCCAAATTTCCTCTAATAATCCCTATTCAAATTCATGTTCTAGAAAGTCTCAAATTCTTTTTCCCCTCCCATCCAGTTAACTTCTCTTATACCTAGTGTGAAAAGAGGAAAATATTGAATAAAGAAAGTATTTTTTTCACTCTGTTGCTTTATTTTATTTTATGGTGCATTAGTGCTTAATTTTCTCTTCATGAAAACATGTTTTCATCAAATAACATTTTCAGTGGGATCTAAAAAATGCACCATCTAACATACATTAATTTCCAACCACAAAATTGAAAAGGAACATTAACACATGTAAGGTTGAAAAAGAGAATACAGTTTAAAGATATTAAGAGGGTTAATGAACCACAGTTCTAGTTCATACCTAATGACAGTCCTTGGTTTAAACAAGCAGGAGTTCACAACTCCCAACAAACCATGGGTTTTCTTTCTCAGATGTCTGTATGATAAGAAACTATGGTTTGTTAGCAAGGCTGGATTCACACAAGATGCCAATTTGCAAAGAAGTCCTTATGTTAGGGCCCAAGTGGAATGATTCTCCAGAACATGATCACAAAGGGGTACCCGCATCACACAGCCCATAGCACAAGTTCTGGTGGCACAGGCGGCATCACAATGCATTGAAATAAAAAAAATGCAAATATGATGTTTGATTACTCCCTTATGTTACAAACATTCCAATCTAGTTTGAATGCAACAGCAACAAATAATAGATTAATTAATCCACAATTTGTATAATTAGTTGTTTCATGATACACGAACTCAGACATTATGGGTTATTCAAGGAGTTAACAACCTACAGTGAACTTATGGTTATTCTTAGGTTGATGGCAGATTTTTAATCCACAAAAAACCCATAGTGTCAATGCTCACAGATCATGAAGCAACCTTGAGTGAGCAGATCAAGTAATTACACCAAGCAGATACATGGGGGTGGGGGTGGGAGGGGAGGGATTTGCTACCATTACATCCAAACAAAGCTACTGACATATTTTATTAAAATCATGTTGTGGCATTGTTATGCTCTTATAACACTATGCATGCACGCACATGCAGAAACTTAACAGTCAGGCTATACAGCAATTGATCTGTATTTTTTTCAACTGTGATAATCTTCACTCACATCAAGATGAATTTGGTACTGCTAGGAATCAGTTTTCTTCACTTTCCCTGCTGGAAGATCAGGTTCCAGCAAGTGACAGAACTGAAAGTGTACAGGCACATAAGCATGTTGAGCAGGCTACTAGTTTGGTTATTGTTAGGCACACTCAGCCAGATTTGACCTTTTCTTCTGTGACTATCCTTCTTTTGTGCCATACTGCAAACTGCTTTTGAAATTTCACTCTATTTCAACAGTAATTTCTCATGCAAAATTTGGGGCTGGGGCTTTTTGAGAAATAAATGCCCCGCTCAGAGTGTCCAGAATTGGGCCATCTTTGCTTATTTTATTTTGGGTACTGGCCATGATTTCTACTTTTTAGGCAGATACTGCAAACAGAATGTTAAAATTAAACTTTTAGTAATGTAAAGCACAATTAAAGCAATGAACTTGAAGCTTCCAGATAGGTTAGGGCAACCCCCACCCCAAACATTACCTTAACAAAGAACCTTTTATCTGTCCTGGCAGGATTGTAAGAAGCAAGGTAAGCAGCAATTAAAAGGAACTTGGAATAATATGGAAGTTCTACATGAGCATGGGCTGAAAGTCCTAGAAAGAAAAATAAAAGATAAAATATAATATTTTGAATGACAAATTTAATGGTGCACATGATTCCCCACCAAACACAGAAAAGAAAAATACATATTATGGATCTTTGCAGCCGTTTCTGTATTTCTGAGCTGTTGGCAAATTTGAAGGCGCTTACTAAGAGACACTACTGTGTTGCTTTCAATTATACAGGTATTTTATCATCAATAATTAATTCTACAGAACTATTACCTCTACACATACCTTTTAGTTGTCCTGGTTCTCCATTATCTTGCTGCAATTGTTCCCACTGGGAGCTAAAAGACAAGGCAGCCATTTAAAAGTAATGTATTTGACATGCCTAAAAGCAAGGCACTTATGAATTTCAACTGCAAAAGCTGGATGCATTTGTGATATCCATGAATAAAAGGAACAGTACAATTAAACCTTTCAACAGTATATGGAGAACATGAACAGAGATGCTGGAATATTCTACTAAATAATCAGTGATCTAAGCAGATTTGTAAAAGCTATTAAGGGAGCAACTTTGTACTTTGGTTTGGCCACCATGAAGGTCATTGGCTTAATCTAACTCAATATGGACCTACTGGGCCCACAGACAAGTATCACTAATACAGAGTGGATAGAAAAGCTATCCTATGATCCCTAACATTGTCTGTCTGTTTATACCACAGGATTTATACTACATTGTCTGTTGTTTATACTACAGGATAGCAGGATTCCCCTTCTGGTGCCAGAAACAGCACACTGACATTTGAAGAAGAAGTCAAAGAGCTGAACCCCTGTCCTGCCCACTAACAGCCAGCATGAAAAACAGCACTGCATGGCTTCCAGGGTAAGAAAATCTACCTCAGGAAAAGATAGGCAAATCCTAGAGAGGCCAGGCCATGAGGTTCATTCCTTCGTCCTCCTCCACAATTGCATTGCTATACTTGCAAAAAACCTGGTATAGAGAAAAACACAATGACTGGAAGATGGGAAGGCAAAGGTTGCCTCAACCTCCTGCCCTGCCAGCTTCAGCTCAGAGGGCACTGGATACACAGATGCTTTTGTGTTTGGAGGCTTCTGCCTTGCAAAGGTGCAACACAGCAGGTTACACAAGAAGAGTATCAGCTCAAGTGTCTCTCACTCCTGTAAACCATGTTCCTATGAAGGTAAACTTCTGCTCAGTCACTCTCCTGTAATATGGAGATACTGATCTACAAAGCAGGGTAACTGTAAGCATTACTGAGTGAAAGCTATTTGAATATTCAAACATACCATAAATGATATTATTGATCACATATACCTATATTAAACTTTAAGAATGACAAGCATGAAATGAAACAAACATGCTAGCTGCTAGGGATTTCAGTATTTCAACGACCTTCCTAATAGACAGCAATAGTAGAAAAGACAGACATTGATCCATCAAATACAAGGAGCCTTGAGTAGGGAACTTCACGGGGCATGGAGAAAAAATCTAGCTAACAACTCAAGAATTTATATTTATGGCTTGCAGCAGTAAAAACTGCAACAGTTATTTAAATTAAAATGGATAAATGCTATGTCTGGGTAAAACAAAATTCTGAGTTATAATCCATTGTTAACAGAAGGCTTGCATCAAGACTAAGTTTATCTCTAAACTTAGAGATACAAATATTGAACAACATGATTCAAAATTACTTTAAAGCCATAATTGCTAGAGGTTTTTTTAAAGTGCAAATGTCTTATCAGTATAAACCAATTTAACAGTATTATCTGAGTATCCAGGACTACAAGTTTGCTTTAACTGATCAGCTTCTCTCTGATCTCATTAGCATTCAGATATACAACCCTGCAGATGTCCCTGACAAAAAGAAATCCTGAATAGTCCTGTTAAAAAGTACAGCGATAATAAACTTTTTAAAGGAATCAGAGCTGTGTTGGTTATCTGTCAAACTTTTGTTCTACCATAAAAGAGATTTTTGAATATTCATTAATGTTCCTATTTGGTGGTATCTGTACATTAGCAGGAACAAACTATTTCTAAATTTAAGTAGATTTAAAAGAGTCAAGGTATTATTTTTGGGAGGAAAGAATGCCATTCTTCACTCACTCTTGACATTTTATGCAGGGTTCCTGACAAGCAGTTCTCCAAAAAATAAATAAATAAATAAATAAATGGAAGATAACAATTACCTTGATATTTCTCGCAGATAAACAGTCTGCATAGCTCTCTTCAAGTGGGACTCAATATTTTTCCAAAGTCGGCGTGTGTCACGTTCATTTGCTACATTGTATGCATAAACACACAGATGGACACATAAACACATAGTATTAATTCAAGATGAACTTTGAAACATGCAGCAATTGTTTGACTTCATGCAGCTAAGAGACTAAGAACCACAATGTTTCTTTTGGGATTCTAATACTGATATTTTCATACCATCATACTATAGGACCACTGTATGTTAAACTGCAACTATAAAAATATTATACATGATACCATTCTTTGATAATCTGTGGTCCATTCTCCCTGTTCTGTCACCATTCTTTTAGCTGAAAGGATTGTTAGTCTCACCCTTGTCTTTTGATGGCTAGAGGCTCATATAACATCCCCCAGTGAGAGATCAGAATTGCTTCATGGGAGCATGTGTTCCCTCGGCTCCCACGTTTCTCACTTTTTCTCTCTCCTGCAATTATTACAGCATTTATCCTTTCCACTTGTGAAACTCTAACTAGCACTAACCACAGCATGAGCTCACAAGATAAGCACATATAACACTGGTCCTTTACCATCTACACTGGCTACCAACTGAAGTCCAGGCCCAATTTAAGACCTATAAAGCCCTAAATAGCTTAGGACCTGGATATCTGAAGGAGCGTCTCCTTCCCTATGTCCCCTTAAGATATGGGTCAGAGGTCCTCCTCCAGGAGCCCTCTGTGAAGGCGATTATGAGGGTGGCCACCTGGACAAAAGCCTCCTTTGTGGTGGCACCCTGGTTGTGGAGGTGCACCTGGCACTGACACTTTATTCTTTTTGGCACCAGACCAAAACCTTTATATTTTGCCAGTATTTTAAGGTTTAGATTGCGATTGTGTGTTTTTATTGTATATAATGGATGCTGTGCTTCACTTTGTTTTATTGTAAGACCACCCTGAGACCATTTGGTAGTGGATGGTATACCAAAGTTTCAAATAATAAATAAATAAGTCATGCCAGATGTGCTAAACTATGCGTAAAGGACTGGGCAGTGTTATGTCTGCACCTGAAATAAAAAAAAAGGGGGGGTGACTAAAGTCCAAATCACCATTTAAAACCTCTTAACTATGGCTTGGGAGGTAAGACTAATAAACAGTAAGTCCTAAATGCAGGGTGAGGGAATGTTCATGCAAGAAGCAAGGAAGATGAGCTAGGTCCAAGTAGGAATAAGCTCAAATGGTGCTCCTGGTTGCCTAATCATGGTTAGGCAATTGCATGGTTAGCACTGCATCAGCACGAAGCTGACAAAAAGCACATATAGACTCAAAAAAGGGTATGTTCTTTTCCTGCCCAAAAAGGAGAGTGATCCATTATTTATTCATAAAAGGCAAAACACTCACCTTCTCCTTGAACCACGGGCTCACAGTATTTCGAAAAATTGAGTGCTGCCTACAGGATAAACAGTAAGAGGTAAGTAAGTATTACCCTAAGTTTGCAATCGGCATGTCCCTAGATTTACCATGTGCCACTCTGTCAGTTACAAAAGGATTTTACCCCTACTCAAGAAGAGCTATACCTTAGTTTTCTAATCTTGACAAAAGCCTATTTACAATTACATAGACAATAAAATGAGCAAGGTTTGAAGAGACAGGTGGACGGTCAATTGTTGAGACCTGGGAAAACTGAAATCAATTGTGACTGGCACAGACCAATGGGGCAGTTAATTACCGTCTCTGCTTGGTAGCTCTAGATGGGCAGACTAGTTTTAAATATTAATTATTCTAGTCAGCTCACAACTGAGACAACCAAGATAGCACAAGCACATCTTTTGGAGCTCATCCAAAAACTGGAGAGGCCTGGAATGATCCAGGTATCACTTTAACTATTGGCACTGACAGCTTTCTACATCTTTACAGCTGGTTTCTATATTCCGTATTAGACTATGAAGATCTCTACAGATGATATTTATCCAAAAGTTCAGTGGCAGCTATTTTTAAGTGATGTCAGATGAATGACAAGCCTGCCCAATTCTAGCCCTTCTTTCCTTTATTTTTGGGTGGTACAGATGAATGGCATCTTGTCTTGCTTGGTCTGCTTGATCTGTTACCACTTCCTACTGGCTTGGCAGTGGAATCCAGTAAGTTAGGTGTTGGTTTCCTGAAGCAACAGTTGCGTATCAGGAAGGGAGTAGAATCAGGGCGTTATAAATTGAGGTTGGCCTCCTGGCCAACCCACTTGGTGGATATCTGGACCTCCAGATATAGGGAAGGCTATGAGTCATAATTTCAAGTTGATATATACAGGGAATGGGTGGGTTCACATATTGTACTAACTCACCCTGTCGATAAATCATGGCAAGTTGTCTGTCTTGCCAACAACCCAAATAACTGGGTTCACTGTGACTTGCTCTCCCTTTCCTTCTCCCTCAGCCATCCAAACAATGTGCCAAGGAACACCATGGATGAAGCCATCATGTATTATCTCCCTCATTCCCTTTTATCCTGTCCCCCCTCCCACCACAGCAAATATCACCTCCTGCAAACTCCAAAGTGACAGCCAGCGATAGTTCCACCAAAGTGCCTTAGCAGGACACTGCAGGAACTGTCATGACTTGTCACTTATTTTTTAAGTGTGCTTTTTCCATATTTTTTTCCTAGTCAAATTTAGGCAAATATGGGGTAAGTACTGCTGCAGGTTCAAAACAGGAAGCCTCACGCAGGCAGGCAGTACCTGCTATCAAAGCAAAACATATACCTAGTCTGGTCATTGACCCATAGAGGTTCCATATAGGCTTATTTTTGATACTGTTTTCAATTAACACCTGTCCAAAGTTGAGCTTGAGAAGAGGAGGATGCAGGGCAGTAATTCTGACAGAACAATAAGCATATGAAATCAGGGTACTTCCATCTCTAAATTATCCTTTTGTGCCCTTCTTTAATTTCTGTTTAAAAAATTCCCTACTTTTGAAGTGAGTGTCAGCAAAAAGGGGGAAAGACTGCATTTACCTTCTCAAGCACTAAGTGTCTCAAGAATGGGTGGAAAAGTTGGGGGAACTGGGAGGGGCACATTCAAAACTGCAGGAATCTTGCTGCAAAGGGAGGAGAAGGCTCAGGGAAAAAACAACCCCTCTGCAGGAAGCAGTGTAAATTTTGACAACATAATAACCCACATGATTTGTTACCTATAATGGGTTGTCATTTCATCATAACCAAGTCAACATGAGTGAATATCACACTCCATCCCCTTAGGCTATTCTTCCTACCCAATTTATACAGGAGGTAGGCCATGTCACTTTCCCTTAGTAGCTGGACTATCAGTATTACAGTCCACCAAGCTATTGTGTCAAATTAAGGAAGCTGTAAGCAATTGCAGATATTTTTCAAACCAGCTCAGTGTATATCCCCCATTATTTCCTTGTTCGCTACCCAGTGCAGACAGAATGGATTCCAATTCTGTTACCCTCTGGCCTGGTGTAGGATCTTTTAACCATGATTAAGATCCTACATGGGCTTTCAACTTTCCATGCATGGAATGCACCCTCTGTGAGGGATGAGGCTCCACCAGTGTAAACTACCTTTGGGACCTACCTTTAAAAACTGACACTTGTTTATGATATGGCAAGGAAGGATGGGCAATGCTACCCTACAAAAAGAAGGTTAAGTTCAACCAGGCAGGCATAAGCCCTTTGGGCTTAGTTCCTTAGTTTGTGACCTTAACAGACTACATCTGGATAGATGCGAGTCGTATGAAGGAACAGCTCTATTATATATCTATATAGGACAGGCTATAAATTTCGAAGCCAGAAGCAAAACTATGATCTCCACATTTATTCGGAAAAAGCCCTAAGAGATCTCTCACCAGATGTCGGAGTTCCTTTAGGTCCCTGCAGACAGGATAGAAGACACCAAGTAGAATATTTATATATGCAGCATAAAAATCAAAAGAATACTCTGGAGGATGGTCATGGGATAGAATCTTCTGTAGATGCCCTGTTTAAAAAATAAACCAGCATATTTTTTCTGTAGAGCAGAAATCTGACTCAATGCATTGCTTGCAGACAAAAAATTAAGGAGGAACTAGCAATACTACCTGGCATTTATAACAGCATTAGTAATTCTTTACAAGCAGTTTGTATTGAATACTTTTTAACTAGCTTTGGATAATTCAGTATAGGTCCAAGCACATCATGGAATCCTTTATGAAAAAGCATCTTTGGCAAAGGGACAAAAGTGCCTTACTTCCAGCCAAGCTCACCATGCCTGATGCAGAGGGCAGCCTGCACAGCATCTCTTGACACCGAAAATGAACATGCTTTTAGCTTCAGGCAGCTACAAGTACACTGATGTGAGCAGGTCAAAAGACCTCGGGAAAAGCCTCAGCACTGAGCTCTTCTCTACAGAGGCCCACAGTCTGATAACTAAACCAAGGACCAGGAAACTCTTTCACTCCAAAGGCCAAATCCAATTTTGAGGAGGAACTTGGGTGTCACAATTTAAGCAGTGGGTGGAGACAGAGACAAAAAGAGTGGGGTGTAAAATACAAAAAATACAGGTATACTATAACATAGCAAAGCTCCTACTGTCAACTACAAAGTCAAAGCAGAGGCATTCTGACCTTTTAGAACAGGAAAAGATCTGCAGTGCACAAAAGCTGGGAAGTGCAAGGTGCTTGGGGGAAAGGGACCAGGCCAGGGTGAGGAAGCCACATGTCTGGGAAACTGAAGAAGGCCAAACTGGGCCACATTTGGGCCTGTGCCTAAAGTTCCCCACATCAAACCTAGATTCAAATTAAAGACCGAAGTGTCAGAGTCACTTCTTTCGCTAGTCATACAGAAAAGATTAGCTTCAAACATCCCTCCTGCCACTTTCCCTCTCTCTAAAGTATATGGAACAACAACACAGTTCTTCTTCACTTCAGTCAATTTGTGTTTCAGCACCAGATAAAGTATTTTTAACTGAACAAGGCGTTTGGATATTGTGCTAATTTTTACAATGGATAATAATTTCCTGCTGTGATTACTATGTGCTGGAGCATGAAGAATGGGGGAATGGAGCCCACAGAGGGAGCTCAAGCCTCTATGGGCCAGATGGGCAATCTCAGTGGGCCTGATTAGGACATAAGTACTTGTGGGAAATATTATGAAAATGTCCAGATATAGTACAGAACTGAACCAACTGTTATCCTATTTGCCCATGTGAAGGCTGAGGTTTCTCTTGATGAACAAGATTAATCATTTGCTAATTGCTGTCAGAACCATGAGTTTTCAGTGGAAACAAAAATCCTTCTCCTTTGAGAGATGGGATGCCGAGAATATGGAAAATAGTTTACATGCTAAAATTTACAAATATTATACAAATTAGAGGAGACAGACAAGGAATAAGAGTTTTATTTGAATGTGGTCTATCCCTGTGTTTTAAAACAACAAACAGCAAGACAAACTACAACCATATGATTTATTGGGAACACTATAAAACAATCAACAAACTGTTTGTAAGCCTGACTTTTTTTCTTTTGATAAAAGCACAAGCCAATGGGCATGCCTGTAAGCTTCCAAACCTAGAGGATTATAAGCATTCTATGCTGAGTATACTATCTTGCACTATCACTAATGTAAATTATGTTGCAGTCAAGTTATTTCTAGCACAATGCCAGCAGCATTGTGGCATGATGTGTTTAGCAGTAATGTTGAATGGGTTGTCATTATATGCCATCAAGTTGTCATCAACTTTTGGGGACCTATGAATGTAAGTCCTCCAAAATGTCTTATGCTTGCCAGCCCTGCTCAACTCTTCCAAATTCAAGTCTGTGGCTTCCCTAAAGGAGTCAATCCATCTCATATTTGGTCTTTCTTTTCTTCTTCTACATTTCCTAGCATAGCTGTCTTCTCCAGGAAGTCTTGCCTTCTCACGACGTGCACAAAGTATGACAGCCTCAGTTTAGTCATTTTTGCTTCTAGGGAAAGTTGAATAAGTAGTGCCACATACAGAGATGCACAGATACAGCAGTTTCCTATTCATCTGTGTGTGTGTGTGGTATGCATGAATATTCCCCCAAAGGGATTTTTAAAATACAAAAAAGTGGATTGTATCACTGTGGAGGACTACCTCTTCATTCATGAAAGTCTAGAGACAATCCCAGCACTCAGAACATGGGCTAGGGGCAGGGAGTTGTGAGTGGCTGTTTCACTTTCATTCTTGTCTGGGGATGGTGTGGGAACCTTCCAGTGGCAGAATCAGCAGTAGCAGCTGGAAGGAACTCTACCTAGAAAAGCTACCTCAGCCTGAACTGAACAGTTCCAATTGTTCTAAGATAGGCAAGCAGCTGAATGTACCATTTGTTTTCATCTGTCCAAATAAACTAGTTTTAACTTTTAATCCTTGGTGTGAGAGTAGTGACTAAGAGAAGGAACATGCATGCTCCTGGGAACTATCCCAACAAAGAAAGAAGACAGTGACAGGAAGGGAAAACATGGTATTCAGGGCTTTACCCTAGCTAGACTGAGGCTGTTGGGCCTAAAGGTTTGTGGTGAAAAGAGAATGCTACCACCAACTGCTGGTGTTGCTGAAGAACTGGAAAGGGAAGGCTAAGAGAATTAACAACTTCTGTAAATGCCAGGTAAGAGACAAGTAAGATACCTGAGGGGAGAACAATGACCTGGGTAAGGCCTGAGTACAAAATCCAACAGCCTGAGCATGGGAGCTGTATGCACAAAAGATGTATGTGGTTACAAACCAATAAACCTGCTACTAAGTGGTTCGACAAAGGTGGGGCAGTGCAGTGCAGTGTGGCAGTGACACAACCATTCTGCTAAACACACACACACTCCTTCTCCCAAACTAGGAGTTCTGAATTCCTCAGACTGCAGTGGTGGGTGGGAGTGCATCAGAACTGATCTCCAGAATCACCTCTGCTTGCAACAGTAGTCAGCCAAATGCTTCTGGAACCTCACAGCAGGGAATGGGCAAGATAGCCTTCCCCTGTTTTTCCCAAGCACCTCAGTCTGCTGCCTCTCTTCACAGAGAAGGCATGTGGCTACCAACCACTGTTAGACCCAATAATTATATAGGCATATATTGCATGTTACCTATGCTGTAGTCTGGAAAATATATTGGTAATGGCTCAAGGCATCCTGTAGCTGGACGAAGAAGCTCCCACACAATTTCACTCAGAAGAACCACGGTCACATTTCTCTCTGTCTGGAGAGGAGTGGAGTAGGATATTGGAGAAAGAGGGAAAGATGACCTTGAAATTACATTTTTAGTCATAGAAAAGCATTTCAAGCTTTCTAAAAGACTGAAATAAATTAATCTGAGTCAGCATTTTATAGCAAAATTATTTGCATAATCACAAGCCCTTAGACAGCCTAATCAAGCAGCTAATACACTTGAAGTTTTTTAAAAAAAAATCAGAAATCTTTTATTTCTCTGTATTATGAAAGGCTACATAAAGTCACACATCATAATTGCCATCATAAGCCCTACTCATAGTCAGCCACTGGGGCTAATGGGAGATGTAGTCCAAAGCATCAGAAGGAAACCATCTTGCCTAGCTATGTATTAAATTATGAGCCACCAGAGTATGAAGGCAACACCCTTCATCTTGCAAAACACCTGCACAACATGAAATCCAAGGAAGAGAACTTAGGTCTCAGGAACCTCTGACGCTTGGGCCAGTATTCTGTGTTTGAGGTTGGAGTGTTACCATTGAATATTAGTGCTGTTCTCGGAATCACCTTCAGGCACAGAAGGAAAAGGGGACGTGTGACTTACCACTGCAACAGGAATTAGGAAGCCTCTGGATTGGTCAGGCCTAGTATTAATACTGAGAACTGGGCCTTCTGCTTTAGCCTAGCCTAGAGAGCAGTACCCTTTGCCTGCTGCATTTTTAGCTCAGCATCTGATAACCTGATCAGGAGCATGTACCATTCAGGTCTTGATCCGAGAACCACTTTTCTCCGAAACCCAGTCCAAGCCTATAGTCATCAATCCCTTCTCCCTCAACAAGCTCATACAAAGTAAAATCCTCCCCTCTGCACTTCGGGAACTCTACAGAGATATTGGTAACAGATGAAGAAAGATGGATTGTTTTTCATACTACCTCTATTTGGAGACACTCACTCCAACACGGCAGCTGAACACCATGAAAGGAGGAGAGACATTTGCCATTACTGGTAGAGAACAGCTTATGCTTCCAAATCTTACTTTTCTCAGCAAACAACAGGATCTACGTGTATACATGATATTCTAGATCCTGGTCAATTAGCTTTTTCAGCTTATTTTGCTTATTTTTATTGTTCATAATCACTCAAAAATGGTACCAGCAGTCACATCCTTCCCCAAGGTAGCATCAAGAGATTTCAATAAGCTGATTTCTAATCATTCTCCCCATAGGAGGCTTGAGTGTTTTATTTTTCACAACACTCCTTGGTCTCTACCTACTAGCAAGATATTAGAATCATGCAATATGCTTCTCTAATGCACTTGAATGGCTGCAAAAGCCATCATCAATCCAAAGCAAAACACATTTCTCCCTGCAGTTGAAGTCTCACATTTGTTACACCCTGTTTGATCAGATTACAGCAAAGGTAACACATGAAGGTGCCAAAGCAAGTGACACAGCTGCTCTCAATTCCACTATGCTACCAAGATTAATGAACATCTACAAAAACTGAACAGCACACTTTCCCAAGTTGCAGCATACAGTGGGAAGTGGCAATCACCACAGCTCCAAAGCATCATTTCAGGTGCTCCAGAGCATATACATCACCTCCCTGTCCCAGAAATCACAAGCTAGGCCAGGCTTATGGAGTAACAGAAATAATCCACCCAAGGCAATATATTCCAAGGCAGAAAGAGGCAGTAATTATTTTCTTGTCTCCCACATACATCTTTGTATGTGTCACATTTAAAAATGTAACTGATATTCAGCACAGAGGGGGGACAGTTATCATCAAGATTTGTCACTTCAGGTACAAGCTAAAATGGGATTTGGAGTAGATTTCTTCTTATTCATGCTTGAACACAGGCTAATCCACCATGTACAATGACCAGAATACCCCTCACTCCTTTAAATCATTTCCTTTGCATTAAACAACAAAGCAGAAATTTAGTTTATTGTACTTCTGCACTCTTGCCTGTTTCTTCCAACATTCATACACCTACAGTCTTCCTCACCCATTTATATTGGCTCCTGCTTCCTCTTTACACACACCATATGGATTTTCATTTATAATAAAGTTTTCCAATTTCACTAAGCCCCACGATCAAGCCCCATAAAAAGCCATCTTGACCCATCCTAAAGAATTGGAGGTGTTTCTGCTATCTCCTGTTAACTCCAGCTGTGGAAACAGTGGGTTGTATCCAACATCCTAGATAGATCCATTGAGATAAATGGGAGTTAAGTTAAAGTAATACTGGATACAACCCAGATGTGATGAAATGCGTTAAGATTTTTTCATGTTAATGAACTATCAGAACTGGGTTCCACTAAACTTGGGCACAGACACATCTCATGGGTAAAAAGTTCCTTCAAAGTCAATAGTTACTGCACTTGCTTTGCATGCAGGAGGTCCCAGGTTCAACCCTTTGTATCTGCAGCGAGGGCTGGGAAAGATTGTACCTGAAACTGCAGAAAGCTGCTGCCAGTCAAAGGCTGACAATGTCACTTTCCAAGCTATTACAATACAAACTGTAGTCAGGGTCAATGTGAGCTTCTGAGAGATGAAAAGAACATTATGAGGAAGCAGAGATCCATTTCACCCGAAGTCTCAAAAAAGATGCACCTGAGGTTTTTATTTTGTGGGAGTGGGGAAACTATTAAGTGAAGAGAAAAAAAATACCCTGCATCCATCTTTTGCTGCAGGAGCTACAGCAGTAAAACAACCAGAACAGTTTTGAATCAATCTTTTTTAAGCCTTTTGATGTGCCACAACTAGCATTGTAAGGTGGAACACAGTTTGTGGCCTAGTCACTTTTGTGAACTTGTTCACAAAGTTATGCTAGAGAAGCTATTCCAAATAAAAGGCACTACTAAATACAAGCACAAACTGTCAGACCAATCTTACTGACAGTGAAGTTGCTCTATCAGTTTCAATTCTACTAAAGAACAACTTCTGATAAAGTTGTAGCAGTGTTTGCTGGACCTTCTATTGTTCCCTGCTGAAACTGGCTCATTACCTAATTGGTACAGATCTGACCTTTATTTCAGAAACATCAAAATAATGCGGAAGCTGGATCAAGTAACTTGGACAATGTACTTACTAGCTCTTGTAATCTAAGGAAACCTGGAAGAATGTTTGCTTCAATTTCTCTTAGATTCTCTGCATTATCCAAAACCTTTAAACAGAAAAGAATTTTATTACACAACACCAGTTCATAAGCAATTTAAAATGATCTCTATCTGCATGCATGTAGTAATGTTTAATCAGCACAAAGATATATCAAAGCATGATTAAGTCAAATAGAGCCATCCTGAGTAGAACTAGTTCATTTATTTTCAGTTAAAAATATAACACTAAATAAATTGGTTTAAAAGTACAAGTAATTCAATTAATCCAGTCATCCACCAAAACATTGACTAAAATATTGCAGACCCTGTATGTGACGCAGAGAGAACATAAAGAGAGGTACCCATTGCTAGCAAACTTTTCTTTATGCCTGAGTCCCAATTCATACACAAAAATGTAATCACCTTTGTAATATATTAATTATTTTAAATTAAAATTAAATAAGGAATTCTATCAGTTCCCTGCTTAGGTTGTAATTATGTGGCCTCTGTGTGCCCCAGATCTGAGTTCCTATCAGAATCCTCACTCTATTCAGACAATACAATGGGAGCAAAGCAGAGCAGAGATCTGTAGCAGACACAGCCCTTATCTTGCTATTGATCTGTGGCAGTATTGCAATTGCTATAAATGACTATAAATCATTTCCCAACCAATGTGGTGAAGTGGGGGAATTTGCTTTCTTTTAGAAAGCCCAGAGAAGGGAGGGGGAAGTGCAAATTCCAATCCCACCCCCCCCATCTTCCACCTTGCTGGGTTTGTACTGGCAGAGCTTCAGCATTGTCAGAGGTTCCAACGCCAGGCCTCTCCATTTTATTAAATTCTATTTTTATTTTCAAACTTTTTGTGCATGTGCATTCTAAAATTGTTTTGCCAAAGGTTCCCTTCATTGGTAAATCCCATACTATGCAAGAAACAGCAACAGAAAGGCTCATTTTCTTTTTAAAAAAGGATTCCACTTTATATAAACAGATCCTTATTGGATCCTTCACTAAAGTAAAAAATGTGATCGTCCCAAATTAACACTGAATAATATTAATGAACATTTATATAATATTTTATATATATCATTTCAGTTGTCCTTTCAACAGCTGTGTACAGTCAGTATTTTTATCCCCACAATAGGGGTGAGATTGGGTGGGGTAACCAGGCAGGTGGGAAGAGAAGAGAGAAGAACTACAAATGCATGGCTTGGCTAAAAGAGCAATTCAACAAAAAGGAAAGAGTCGAAACAGTGATTCTGTGATTTGCTTTGGATTATCATTATATTACCTCTTATGGGTTGAAGTACCTTAATTGGTGAATTACAATGCTAAACACACAAGAGAAGAAACATGAAGGACACATTGTTCTCAAGGTAGGCATAAACACAAAGTTTTATTGGCACCATCTTTCACTGCAGGGAATGAATCACTTTGAGCCTCATGATTAATCATGATTGTTCGGTACCTGTGCTTGGATTAAAAGAAGCGTTTAGAAGCCACTGCAAGAGACTAACCATTTATCTTAATTTTCTCTGGATTAATTGAGGCTGAAATATCTTGCATTATTTACCAATGACATAAAATAGAATAAATTAGTTTTGCCAGCTTGTGCTACCAGAACGTAAGTTTCCCCATTAATCTCCATTTAAACCGCCTCATAATAAATCCATAAGACACAGGTTAATTCACATAAATTGATTTCTCCAACACTCTTGTCTATTTTCATGCAGAGCAAAGTGAAACACTGAAAGTTAATACTTAATTCTTCTGATTTAGTAACACTTTACCCAATATAATTGATAATTTTGCAACGTTTAATGCCCTGCCCTGGTCTTTATTATCCATTTCAAAGAACCTCAAATATTATGATAAGTAGCACTGTTAATGAAAATTGCAAACACTGTCTCTGAAAAAAGCTAAGCAGAGGGTCTTCCCAACTGCAGCAGAATAGTAATCTTCCAAAAATCCACAACACATTTTTAATATGTTAATGTTTCAGCTGGAATTCTGTCACATGAACCTTTTTTCTGTTAAATCAATAAATATGATGGTGGAGGATCTTTGAAGTAAATGCATAAATTAAGACAGTGGGAACTTTAGATATGTCTAGGGGATACCCAGTAGAACATTTGGTATGTTCTTCCATGACATATTAACAACTTATTAATATATCGCCTCTGAAACACTCCTGAGTTTTGCCATGTGGAATAGGCGACTGTTCCCTAATAAGTATTTAAAGGCATTTTTGGCACACATGAAGCTATCTGTCTGGATCTTTGGAATGTGACCGTATTATATTTAGCACTGATTCATACTTGTTGAGTCGCAAGTAATTCAATAGTTCCCATTCAAAAATCATGCAAACACAAATGTGAGCAGGAATGCAATTCTTGGAAAAAGTTTACAATTTACCAAAGTTGTCTTCATGTTCCAAAAAAGCACATCTGCACACTTCCCCAAATCCCTCCAAATTAGCATTTTTATTTATTAGCATATGGGGAGAAACGTGCATTTTTCAGGCACAAAGTGCTTTTCAAAAGTATGTGCACTGTTTACTCTTTTACCAATAAAAATATGCCTTCTTCACCAATTTAAAAAAAAATGTTCACTTTCACAAACACAAATGAAGCAAAATGATCTTGTGACAAAAAATTTAGAGAACCTAAGTGAGATCAAGCTTGCATGTTTGCTCATTTCTCCTCAGGAGTGTATATGAGACTGCTCATGCAGTAATGTTGCCTGTGAAATTCAGAACCCTGATGTACAACATGGAGCCTGCAAGTCACACAATCAAGGGCAGATGCAACTGGGCAAATCATTGCCGCCATGTGTGCAGGTTCCACAAGGAGGCGCCAAGTACTCACAGTGGGGTTGCTATGTTAATCATGAACTTTCAGTCTTATCTTTAACAACGATCAACTTTTTTAAAAAAATACTGAGGCTAATTATAGGACCTCTGACCAAGCAACATAAAATATGGAATGAGAGGACTATGCACATCAAAAAGCAGCACCATTACTCAGAGAAAAATGGCTGTGAAATGGATAAGCCATTCATTCCTAAAGAAATGCTGTAGTGCAAAGTTTAAGTTTTCCTGGTTTTCTGAAAGGTCTTCATTAAATGAGTTGGAAAGGATCCTGTAACTGTTCAACCACTACAGCAGAGACTTTGTCATGCTTGCCAACTTTGGCAGTCTTTAAGGTGACCCATTTAGGGCTTTGAAAGTTAGCACCAACACTTTGAATTTGGCCCAGAAATATAGTGGCAGCCAACACAACTAATCCAAAAATGGTGTTCAGAATTTCTGGCTCACACTAACATGCATTTGGCATCTGTGAAACTTTCCATGCAGTTTTGAAAGGCAGCACCATGTAAAATTTATGCTGAAAGAGCATGCAGAGTAAGATGGAATGACTCTGAGACACCTAACAAGCTAAAGATCATTGGCTAGTCTCGAAAGCTGCTAAAAGGCAAAAAAAAAAAAAAAAAAAAAAAAAAAGCCCAATAAAACCAAGTCCCCACCACCAAAACCAAGAAGACAACCAGCACTGAGTTCCCCTGCACATGTCAACAAAGCTGCTTCAACCTTGAAGCCTGAATCCAGACTGGAATGGCTCTAAAAACAACCCATTTCTTCCAAAACACCTGGATTTGGGACACCATCATCTTCTCCAAAACTTTGCCCAAAGTGGAAGATTAAACATGGGATGAAAATTAGTTAAAGAGCATGAGCCCAATCCTGATCTCTTTAGCTGCTGCTTTTCTAAAGGCAGCTCAGACAGTCTTCCTCAAGGAGGTGTTTAATAGTGCTAATGGTCCAGTCCATCTTCCAGTTGTTTTGAGTAAATAAGATGGGCAAGGACCAAAGTAACAGATAGCATTTTCAAGTAGCCTGACAAACTGAAATGTATCTATTAGAACATAACTAGAAGGATACCTCTATCTTTAAACTTGTCATAACCATGGCATCAAATCTAGTGAGAAACAGTTTTGATTTAATGAACCTGGGGTTTAAGAGCTCAAGACTGGGCTGCTGGTTCAATCCTCATCCCTGCTTCTCTAAATGAATCTTGGAGTGAGACTAGTTTGACTTTAACCAGGTTTTATGGCAGTCACATGAAGAAGAAAGTCAGCAAGAACGTACATAGGAGGAGAATTGCATACCATGCCACAGCCTGCTCTCACTCCTAAGGCTAGAATTGAGCTGTAGGTCAGAGCCCAAGAAACATGGGAAGCCAACTTTTGCCCAGTCAGTCTACTTTCTGACCTAACTCCATACTAAGTCTTCTGACTAGAAGCAGTTCTCCAGTGTCTGAGGCAGTTGTTACCTGATCCTTTTAGCTGGAGACTCCAGGAATTGAACCTGGGACATTTGGAAAGCAATATATGCATCTTACCTCTGAACTACTCGGCCCGATCTTTAATTAGAAATATGTCTCATTGAAATTAGTGGGAGCTATGCCCACATAAGAATGCAGTCACAAAGTATTACAACAAAAGTCATGCTATAGGTCACAAGGCCAGCACTTAATGTATTTTGCAGTTGCTCATCTTTGAGAACCGAGTGTCTTTCAATATCTAGTCCCACTTCTGTTTTGGGCAAGTTGCTTCTAGCTTATTGAAGGATGCACCATAGAAACAAAGAGGAAAATTACAAGTCACTCAAAATTACCATCCACTTTTCAGTGTGATATTACTTTTTCAGTTTTATTCAAAAGTTTGGAATGAGATCTTTCTCTTGAAAGGAATTCAATCTGTTCCCCCTGTGACTCCATTAACTGGTGTTCTCACATTAACTGTTTGCCATATGAAGAATTACAGAGATCTTTCAACTACATTCTCTTTCTCCTCCATCTACTCTTCATAGGCTATGAAGAATTATGTTGCCCAATTAATTTTTCATTGCTCTAGTTATCCCTACATACTACATTATTTATTCAGCATACTTACAACTTTTAAAGCAAGCAGCCAGTTTTAAATCTTGCCCCTGGACTGTAAGATCCATAAAATTTAACTGATCTTTATTCAAAGGAGCAAATTCCCTTCCAAAAATGCAACTTCATGCTAGCCTAACTAAATCTTCCTCTTTACATACCTATTCTTAGCTGCTCCACTTAATTACTGTTTATCACATTCCCTTGCAATAACAGTTAAAAGAGGAAACATGGCAGTTATCAGATATGTATAATTTATGTTTGTTCTCTACTCTAGATAATATATGTACAATGATATATCCATTATCTATACTCACCTTTACAAAATCAGAATCTTATTAAGCTGTTCAGGGGAATGTGGGAATTCCTTGGAAGCATATCTGAGTTGGCTCATTCCAAAGTTCAGTAATGGTAGACAAGCTCCTCTGAAAGACAGCTTGCTCACCAGCAAAGATCTTCCACTGCCACATATAGCTGCAGGAAAGTTCTGGATGTGTCAAAGACTGCATTCCTAGTTCACAAAGGGCCATGCAGATGTTCAAGAGAGCTACATGAATGAATGTGTGCCCTGGAGCAGGGGAGGGCAAATTTGGGGGCACATCTGGCAATTTGAGAGACTGTTCTGGGTACAAATCGGCTGCCATGGGAGGCATTGCTAGTCATAAAGGACAGGAAACATAGCCAAATGATCAAGTGCAAGAAGAATTGGGTCTCAGCTTCAATTTGCAAAGCAATTCTTTTAAATCCAAATTCAGTGCCAAAAGTAATCTATTTCACAGAAGGTGAATGTTCTATGAACATTTCATCTTCCATTTCACTCCTGCCAGCAAACACATTTCCCCTACTTTTTTCTCTCTCACTCGGGGTCACCATCCCCATGTTCTTCCTCACCCTGGCTCATTATTCAGAGACTCACTCAACTGCACTCTCTTGCTCTCACACAGACACTGGCCTTAGCAACCTTGGGAAGCAAGTTGCCCATCCTTGCATGAAAGCATGACACTGGCATTGTGTAGAGATTCTGTAACAAGTTAATGAGGAAAAAGCAGAATATTGAAAACGACTGACTGGATCCAAAGCTGCCCTTTCTGGCTCAGAGGAAAACTACTTCTGGCAAAAAAAAAAAAAGTGTGCAGGAGGCAGAGGGGGCACAATGACACTTTTGGATCTTATATAAAATATTAAACCAAAAACTTGTAGAAGTTCTCTAAGCTCTTGACATTTAAATCATAATCAGCCGGCTCTTATTTTAAGCTGCGAAGAAAATTATTGAATGGGAAATGGCAATGTGTAAAAAAGGCTGAATTGTGCCCTACTTTCCGGACGTTTAGTTACAGCAGGTAGCAGCTCACTTTAAATGGCAGTAATGCACCTGGACTTACATACTTACAATATATATAGTTTGATTCTGTAGATCAGGTGCCACAGTTGTCCGTTTAAATAAACGTACAAAGTCATTGAATGTGTCACAGGAAACAAATGGAACATCATTTTCCTTGATGGAAAGGCACTGCAGCTGTCTCAAAATTTCTTCTAGGAGCAGTCTTGAAGTAAAACATTCGATACAATTCACAAACACATGGGGTAGCTAAAATGAAAGAGAATTAATTCAGGCTTGCTTTTATTCATACTATTATAAGAAATGGCAGAGAAGGGGTAATATTATTCACATACATTTCTTGTACTAAAACTACAAGTCTTCAAACAACCCAGATCAGTTTTGCAAAGTAATGCACCTAACAAGCCCATTTGCAAAGCCACGCCACAGTTTTCCTGCTGGACTCAAAAGATCTTAGGAAATTCATTTACTATGATGACTAGCTGCAGAAGTTAACAGCAATCAAACTGGGATCAGGTGTTAAATGCATCTATTATAGTATTAAGTATTTGAATCTCTGGAACTCTTTTCAGGGCAGCTAAGGATTCCCAAAATTCTTTGAGGAAAATCTTACTGGATTAGTACCCACACTGATTGCTAATAATTCTTGAGGAAGCAACAAAGATGAACAAAACCAAAGGCTTTTGAGGTCTCTTCTCCCCCTCACCAGATCCAACACCCTCACCCAAAAAGCTTTCTGATTATGTAGTACAAATTCATTATTCTTTTTACCTCTAAGGTTTTCAGAAGAGTCTGCATCACATAAGTTTTCCCACTCGATGTGTGTCCATAGATGAAAAGGGATGGAAAGCTAAAATGCTGACGCTGGACCAAAAAAAAAAAAAAAGTTTGCTTTATTTTTAAGAAGTGCAGCTTGGTCTTTCTTCAGTCAAACAGAAGTTTGACTCATCAAGTTTTCTGCTGGATGAAAAGCTTGACAATAAAGGGACTCTCTAAAAACGCAGCAGCTAAAATCCACCAGGGCAACTTATCTACTTGATTTTATAATCCACTGAATATTAGGGAGCCTGGTTCAAAAGCAAGAATGGCTTGTGTACAGCAGTGAAACCCCTAAGACACGACGCAGCCTAAAGCCAGCACTGAAACTCCCAAAGATGGTGCAGAAATGAACAGTGTGAGTGGCAAAATCTAAGACTTCATGGCAATAAGCCTTCAAAATGGTATATACTAATAGCTTTTGAAGCACATAATCATGAGAGCACCTAACCATAAGTTGCTTGAAATGCCAATCTTGCTGGAAAAGTAACTTATAAATACAGTAAAATAAACTTATTGAGTCATAGCAACATCACAAACTGAGTTAATAACTTCATGGAGTGAAAGCAAGGTGGGTCAGTATATTCTTATGGTTTCAGCACCATCGATACCTGTGACAACAATATTTATTTTTTTTTTGAATGATTGATTTCTCTATCACCTAACAACAGAAGCATTCTAAGTGGTAAACAATAGTACAAAATACAGTAAAATACATCATACAGTGTATGCCAACATTTAAAAACACATAAACAAAAAAGATAGATGCTTGTCCCAAGGAGATTAGCGTGAAGTTTGATGGCTGTACAGGAATAGCAGAAACAAGAGATTCAAGGAATGAATATGAACAAATTGCAGTTGTGCCACTTCATCCACACAAAAGGTGGCTTCTGAAGAAAGATTTCAAGGAAAAGGGAGAGGATGCAGTGGGTTATGTCACAAAAATTTCAGTGTTGGTGATAGTGTTCAGAGCCAATGTGGTGTCATGGATAGAGTGCTGGACTGGGAATCTAGGAGATCTGGGTTCTAGTCCTCACTTAGCCATGAATCTCACTGGGTGACTTTGCATCAGACATTCACTCTCAGCCTAACCTACCTCACAGGGCTGCTGTGTAGATAAAAGGGAGCTAAGTAAGCTACCTTGGAAAGAGGAAAACAGGCAGCATATAAAAGAATGTAATAATAAATACATTAATAGTTTGCCACACTAAAGTCACTAAATGAAACTTGAAGGAAATTTTAGGACAAAGTCAGAAAAAATCAAATGTACAATGAACTTTATCAGATTTGTCTCATCCCCAGCCGAAAAGAATCAGGAAATACCAACAGAAGTCTCCCTGAAAATAAGCATGCAAACAGAAAGGGGGGAAAGCCTCAATGGACAAGACAGAAGAAAGCTAGAGTCTCATTCAAATCATGGCATGTTTTCATGGAGAGGGATGAAATATTTTCTGAATGTGACCAGAAATCAAAAGAAGAAAAGCCAATGGTTTGTGAGTATAATTAAGTATAATTTACACACATCCTTCATGTCTGATAACTTTTTCAATTAGCAAGAAAAGTCGCACATGCAAACTTTTGATTAAGTCAGGAACTTATTTCTTAAAAACCATTCCCCTAAATAAATTAAAACAAAAATGGAAAATGCACTAATTTATTCTGCAGATATAATGCTACTTTCCTAAGCACCATGTAGTAACTTTTCAGATATATGTATATTGTTTGAACTAATACTTCCAAACAAAATTGATAAAAGAAAGCAGGTAAAGTGTTTCCAGACAGAATAAGATTTGAGTAACAATGGAATTTACTTCTTTCACATTACTATCTTCCAGATAAATGCCCCAGTAAATCAAAAAGTCTTGCAGTGCTTCCTGAAAGCACAATTTAAACATTCATTTTCATCTTGCAATTTATTAGATCAAAATCATCCCTACTGCAAAATAAACTAAACTAAAATATTTTTAAATTTTCATTTAAAAACAATCTATACCCCTTGCCTTCATGGTGAATACATCAATACTGCATGTTTTGAAAGTTCATCTGGCAAAATTAAATGCAACAGAAGATTGTTGACATCAGTTTTCATACTGTGAACCAAATGACATGTTCCTCTCCTAAAGGGCTTGCATAGATATGATTAATTACACAAGCATGCAGATAATGTCAATCCTCTCTAACAAAGCCCACAATAACCACTGTACCAAAATCCATGTGATGTAAAACTGCTGAGGGGACAGATGAAGTATTTTTTTCATTACAACTTAAATAAATGCTATCCCATCTCTTTTTATAAGCTACAAAAATATGTCATTGTTTTAAAGACTTTTTGGTACAGACAATGAGCCAAACATGTTCCACTGCAAATTTCATTTCAGTCATGAATCTATGTGCAAGTCTTACATAAGCTACTGTCTGTTTGTCAAAATGTCCCATGTGAAATATGAGGATAATATTGGCCTATGCCTGGGTTTGTAAGGATTAGCTACATTATGTAGAAAGTTAAAGAAAAAATTAGAACATTTTCTACCTCAATTTGTCTGCCAAGGAATCAGAAGCCTCATACACCGCAAAATATTCTGTACTGTGTACAAACAAAAACAGTCACATAGCAGACTACCTAGGCAGGCCTATCAGATTTCCCATGTAAACTTCAACTGCATCCTAGGGGAGAAAACACACACACACACACACACACACAGAGCGAGAGAGAGAGAGAACCATATGGGCAGCTGCATACTACAGGAAGTCCTTCACAGTGGGCAATCAGTCTTTCAGAAAATCCTGTCCCTGTCTTTCAGAAAATCATATTTATATACAGAACCCCTAACTATGCACCAAAGATCCCCAGAACAGTCTACTCAGGTTGGGAGAATACAAAGAAACTATATGTAAAGAAATTTGAAACCTCAGAAAGGCAGAATAATTACCTTCACCCACAGCATACTGGCAGACTAGATAACATAAAATGAGCAAGGCCCCATCCTGAAGTTCTGTCAACATCCCTCCCTATACCCTTTCTTTCTTAAAAAGTTATTTTGTCTCCAAGGAAAGAGAGCCATGCAGCTTTATTCCACTCTCTGCAGAGAGAAAGGCAAATGGCAAAGGCTTTGATGAATTTGGCTCCTCCAAGCACTGGCTGAGACAACTGGGATGGGAACAGTATAGGAATGAACTTAGCCAGGACCTGTACTTGCAACCAACCCTTGGTCAAGAAATGTGGGGAAATCCTCAACTTATCTGAGATCAGAGACAGCACAGCAAAGGGATAAAGTTACAAACAAAGGGGGGGGGGACACTTTGTTATCTCTGGAGATATAATTGGGATGCTCCCTTGATCAGGGGGTGATGATTGGGAAGGGGGCAGGGCATGGGAAAGGGAAGGGACAGGGGCTACAGAGGGTGCTCAGCCTGCCCTCGACTGGATTGGGCTCCAATGCAACATGGAACAGATCTGCAAACCAGATCTTGCCTTCACCGACCTTAGGGAAAATGCATCATATTTACTATGCATTAATATAATTATTTAATTCCCTCATTAACTTGTTGCCATAAATGCGTATTGAAGTCGTATGTCTGTACAAAAGAATTTTATAAAATCTGTCGCTTGCCAGAATTTTGTATGTCAAACCTTACACACATTAACAGGTTTGACCAGTCTCCTGAGTAATCAGGAGAAAGATGACAGCACGAAAAGATACTGTAAAACCTTTATTTTCTCCACAGGTGAGAACAGAGGTGGACAACATGTAACTGCAGTCTACCAACATCTGTGGGGCCGCATCAGCTCATGCCAGTGCTGAGCGATGATAGGAGCTGCAATCCCATATCTGGATGCTGTGAGTTGTCACTTCTGGCTTAGAGAGATGTGCAAGGAATTAACCTACTGAAAATATTTGAATGTCATGAAAAAGAAAAAAAATGTGAACGTACTGGTGCTCGATCTCTCCTGCTTGGCTGCTTCTGCCAGCAGGAGCGATTGAACAACATACAGCAGCAAATTTGTTCATTCCCAATAGTGTGACAGCCAGCTATGGCCCTTGTATCTTCATAGCATCAAGACAGCACTTTCCCTAGAAGCAAAAAATGACAAAGCTGAGGCTGTCACGCTTTGGGCACTTCGTGAAAAGGCAAAACTCCTTAGAGAAGGCAATCATACTTGGGAAAGCTGCTGGTAAAAGAAAAACGGGAATACCAAATATGAGATGGATTGACACCGTAAAAGAGGTCACAGGCTGGAATTCACAAGAGCTGAACAGTGCTGTCACGGATAGGAAATTTTGGAGCTTTCACACATACAGTTGCCGTAAGTTGAAGATAACCTGATGACACATTAACAACAGCATCTTAATAACCATCCAGTTAGACAGGTTATGGTAAGGTGCCAACTTGCTAATGGACCGAAAACCTAGTACACTCTAGATCAGGGGTGGGCAATTAATTTTCCCATGGGGCCACATGAGAAACTTTGACAGTTGTTAAGGGCCGGACCAATACACTTATAGCTCTGCTCAATATATCTCTCTATAAAAACAATAAATGAAACATTACAATGAAAATGTGGAGCACAGAACAACACTATTTAATGAATATTCACAAAAACAATAGTATTAACATTAACATTACATGAAAAGCAATAAATTCAATTCAATTTAGTAGAACCTTCAAAATAAAAGCAGTACAGTTGTATTGCTTGCATCTATATTACGACGATATATATTTGCATTGACTTTTAATTTGCCAGTGACCTCATGCGGGCCAGTCAGGGTCAGCCATCAGGCCGGATGTGGCCTGCAGGCCATACAATGCCCAGGTCTGCTCTAGATGTTTTGGATTAAAACTCCTATAACTAACCCATTAGCTGTATCAGCTGGGGCTGATTAGAGTAATAGTCCAAAATATATGGAAGGCTGCAGACTATATGCTCCTTTGTGCAAGACTTCCCAGGAAGCTGCATGCAAAGCAGAGATTTGAACCCAGGTTTCCTTGCACCAACACCAAACTAAACAGAAGTGAAACAAAACCCTTCCTTTCCAGCAAGTAAACAGCACACTACCCACTCTGAAAACAAGGCGTTTTAAAGTGCAATCAGAAAAAATAGACAAATGTATGATACCTCTCCAAAGATTGACAATAAGGTGGAGACTTGAGTTTCTCGACAAGGCACCAGGCCTTCCAAATGAAGCAATATTTCTTCAGGATACTCTGGATGTTTGAAGATAGGCATTTTAACTTCTGTTTCTATAACTAAGTACTTTCACCTGGCAGCTTCCAGGATGCAAAGAAAATGGATCTGGAAAACAAAGCTACAGTTATTTTAATACTTCCTGTGAGGTCATACTTACCAAATACAGATTGACAGATGATCACTAATTTTACAGCATATTGTTCATATTAAAATTAGTAAGAAAAATGTTATAATTAAGTGCTCACCTGAACCCCAAGACTATATTGGTCTCAGCCTTAGACAAATGTAAGATTAGCATCAGCCCCCAAAGTCTTCCAACCAGATAATTAAAATAGAACAATTACGTTAACAACAGAAATGTTAACAATGCAACTAAGGTATATATGAGGTAACTCTAAGATGCATAAAACACTACAATATTAACAAAAGCAATGTGTAGGACTTTAGATGTCACCAAATTCAAGGGGTTAGAAATGGGTTGCATCCAGGCCAAGTTACCTGGCTGTATATCCCATTGAAATCAATGTTGAATTTGCATTGATACCAAATTTCTTTCCAATATTCATTTTGTGATAATCTGGCAATTATATTCAAATAAACAGACCAAGCCTACAAGCTAGGCTCCAGCAGTATGTGGACCGAGAACTACCAGAAGTACAGGCAGGATTTCAGGATGTTCCAGAAAAATATCTACTTCTGCTTCATTGACTATGCTAAAGCCTTTGATTGTGTGGATCACAACAAACTGTGGCAAGTTCTTAAAGAGATGACCATCTTATTTGTCTCTTGAGAAACCTACTTCAAGAAGCAACAGTGAGAACTTGACATGGAACCACTGACTGGTTCAAAACTGAGAAAGGAGTTTGGCAAGGCTGTATACTGTTGCCCTGCCTATTTAACTTATATGCAGAGCACATCATGAGAAAGGCAGGGCTGGATGAATCACCAGTTGGAATTAAGATTGCCGGAAGAAGTAACAACAACCTCAGATATGCAGATGATACCACTCTAATGGCAGGAAGTGAAGAGGAACTAAAGAGCCTCTTGATGTGGGTGAAGGAGGAGAGTGCAAAAGTTGGCTTGAAACTCAACATTAAGAAAACTAAGATCATGGCATCAGGTTCTCTCACTTCCTGGCAAATAGATGGGGAAGAAATGGAGGTAGTGAAAGATTTTATTTTCCTGGGCTCCAAGATCACCGCAGATGGGGACTGCAGCCAAGAAATTAAAAGACACTTGCTCCTGGGCAGGAAAGCTATGGCAAATCTAGACAGCATACTAAAAAGCAGACACATCACCCTGCCAACAAAAGTGTGTATAGTCAAGGCTATGGTTTTCCTAGTTGCAATGTATGGTTGTGAAAGCTGGACCATAAGGAAGGCTGAGTGCCGAAGAATTGAGGCCTTTGAATTGTGGTGCTGGAGGAGACTCCTGCGAGTCCCTTGGACCACAAGGCGATCAAACCGGTCAGTCCTAGAGGAGATCAAGCCTGACTGCTCTTTAGAAGGCCAGATCCTGAAGATGAAACTCAAATACTTTGGGCACCTAATGAGAAGGAAGGACTCCCTGAAGAAGACCCTAATGCTGGGAACAACTGATGGCAAAAGAAGAAGGGGACGGCAGAGAATGAGGTGGCTAGATGGAGTCACTGAAGCAGTTGGTGTGAGCTTCAGTGGACTCTGGGGGATGGTGGACAGGAAGACCTGGAGGAAAGTTGTCCATGGGGTCACGATGGGTTGGACACGACTTCACGACTAACAACAACAAAGTCTTCTACTTTAGGTTCCCGATCCGGACTGGAGTCGTGCATCTACTGTACAACACATGAACCGAAATCAAATGATTTAGCTGATTCAGAGCAGATTTAAAGTCACATTTCTCTGGAAACCTGAAGACTGCCTTGTGGGGAGATGAGTCAAAACCCCATGCCCTTTCTCCGTGCATACGACCCAATGATCTCTCTACACTGCAGGTCATAGGCTTGGGCCTGTTCTGCCAGTTATCCTTTCCAGACCGACCACGCGTGTCACCCAGACCCCAGGGCGTTGGACAGGCGTGAAGGGGCCGCTCGCTTGCTTGCAAGGACACAGCAGCTTCCATTGTTTTAAGAACCGCCAACTGGGACGCTGCCGGACCGTGGTGTCGAATGGGCGCCTTGCCCAAGGAACGAAAACAGCCTTTGCGTGCAACCCTCTTCGCAGCTACCCAGAAGCCAGCCCCACTGAGCGCAATGCATCCGACTCCCAGGTCAGCGTGCAGCACAGCCTGGGCAAGCCAGTGGCCGGCATATACCTCCACCTGCCCTTCAGGAAAAAGGTCTGTCGAACAAACGTCTACCTACGGCCAAACAAACGGCTCCCCGAGTGAAGCGCACCAAGAGACGGAACAGCCGGAGTCGGACCGCTCATCAGCCGACCGGAGGAAACCCACGTGATCGCAGTCGTTGCGGGGTAAGCGCGAACTGATTTGATCCCTAGGTTGTCACTCACGCAGTATTAGCCAACGACTTGCGAGCGAAGGCGGCAGACAACGCCCTCCCTCCTCCCCCTCGGGACAGAGCCTTTTCCCGCGGTTGCGAAGATTCGCTTCGAGGGGTGCTTTAGAGCGCCCGGCCTCGTGACACGTCCCGTCGGAGCTCGTCCCAGCTAGGGAAACCTGCTGCGGGAGCCCAGCTTAGCATCGCCGTTTATACAGCTTCTCGGCTACTGGTTCCTCAGCCGTCATTAACATGAAATATTGTACCATTTTACAATTCATTTAATTTCCAGCTGGCTTAAGCGGAAATGAACAGCGCACTTGTGAATTGTGCTGCTGGAAATCCCAATCCAATATTGTATATTCAGTCCAATGCAACTGGCTCCTAAGTGTGTTTAGAAGTGCAGTTTAATCTTGAAACTAATCCCAGTAGGAAAGTGGTAGGGAACTTGTGGTGGTCCAGATGTTGTCGGACAGCAAATCCTATGAGCCCTAGCTAGTACAGCCAATGGCGAGGCATCAGGACTGATGGGAGTTGCATTCCAACACCATCTGGAGCACCATATGTTCCCAATTAGGTGTGTGAGTGAAAAAAGCATCGAACTCAGATTTTATTGTAATAGATTGTTTTTCTGTACTGCCCAATAATTGAAGTTCACTATTTGGTTTACAAAGATTAAAACTTTAAAAATACATTATAAAAATCTACGTACATAAAGACATTCAAGAGAGAAAACACTAAAATGTAAGACCTGGTTGAACCTCATCATATGCTACCAAATGCCTGGGAGAGATAATAGAGTTAACCAGAGCAACTGGGGAGCCATCACCGAGAAAGCCTTCTCTGTTGCTTTCTGATCCTCCCTCACAGCAGTCACCTGGAAGAGGGCCTTGGATGATGGATGCAGTGTTCAGGTAAGTTCATGCCAGGAGAGTGCTCCATCAAGTATTGTGATTCCAAGTTGTGTAAGGTTTTCTAGGTCAAAACCAGCAGCTTGAATTGGACTAGGAAACATACAGGAAGGCAGTGCAAGCAGGCAAGAATAAAGGTTCTGTGTTCAGAACTTTTGGTATCTGTTATCATCCTGGCTATGCAGAAGGCTCTGCTTCTGAACTACTGTCAAAAACATCCCCATGTACAGCACATTGCAGCAATCTAACCTGGAGGTTACCAGACCATAGACAACTGAAAAAAGGTTATCCCTGTCCAGATAGAGGCGTAACTGGCTCACCAACTGAAATTGGTTGAAGGCACTTTGTGTCACTGAGGTTGCCTCAGCCTGAAGAGATGGTTCCAGGAGAACCCCCCAGAATACAAACTTGTTCTTTCAGCAGGCCTGCAACCCCATTCAAAACAGGCTGGGCACTTGCCATCCAGTCAGAAGCTTCACCTGCTAAGAGAATCTCAGCCTTGCTTGGTTCAGTTTCAGTTTGTTTGTCCTCATCCAGTCCCATTCAACTGGTGCTCTCTAATCTAGCAATGTCACATGCATTTTTCCAGGGCATTTATATCTGTCCCATTGGCCACAGTACTCTGCTAAGCCGCAGCAGGAATAAAATAATGGTGGGGAACTCCTATGAAGTATTCCCTCAGCATCATTTATGTAGGCCACCACCTACATATTAAGATTGTTCTTCAAACGCACACTAAGCTATCTGCATGCCAAGTATAAACTGTTCTTCCCTGCCTCTCCCCGCCCCCCCCCCCCACAAACATTACATTTGTATGAAGTGATTTAGACTTTCTAAAGCAGTATTTGGTTTCATCTTTTCAAGTTTCAAACCAGTTTCACCACAGGCTGACAGAAGCTCCCAGATTCAGTCCCCCGTTTCTGCAGCTAGAGCTGGGCAAGATGCCAACTTGAAATTCTGGAGAGCCACGGGCAGTCATTGCGCTAGGTAGATATTATTGAGCTAGGTCGATGCTCTGTCCTTACATAAAGCTGCCTCATAATAGCATGCACACTGTTCCTATGCAGAATATAGATCAATGGTGTGGAGATGCAGAGAGATCAAATTCAAATATAAACATTCTTATATATGCTGGGAACAAAAAGAAGTTCCTCTTGTTTGTTGTCTGACTGAAAGAGACAGGCAACACCTGCAAGTGTTGTTATTTTTTTTAAAAAGACTCCTTATTGTTGATGCACACAAGCAATAGAGAGTGAGACCATCTCCAGTTGGAACCAGTTGCCACAGTCAGCATGCACAGCAAATTTATTCATCTATCTTTTTGTAATTATTAGTAACAGAAAACATCATAACTGGAAACATTCAGTTAGGTTTGTACATGGTTATCATGAACCACAAGGCTTTTGAGGAACAGAGGGTTATTTTATATTTTCAACCCTTATGTGTCTGTCTGGAAGAACACTAAGTAACTGGACTTTGTTGTTTGGTCATCAGGAAAAAATATTTTCTTCATATATGTCTATTCAGAAGTAAGTCCCATTGTATTGAGTGTGATATGCTCCCAAGTAAGTGTGCATAATCTCCATTGAACCTTCTTTTGTGTTTTGGCCTAAAGCTCTCATCAGCTATAGCTAGCATAGCCAACAGTGAAGAATGGTAAAGAGTTGTAGGCCAAAATATCTACAGGGCCACATTTTTCCCATCTTTCCCCTAATCCATCACCACTCATTCAAAAGCTCTGCCTTCTTCTCTTTGCCCTGTCTGGTTCAGGGCATATTGTAATGCATGGGCAAATTCCAGCAGCATTCCACCTCACAAGTTCTTCAGCATTTTAATAAAATGCTGTAATTCAAAAGGGACATGGAACAGATTTCACCATGTTGTGAAATATAGTTATACAGCTCAAACAATGGACCCCATGAGAAGAGCTGATAAATTCTAATCTTTAGTAAGTAGCACCTATGATACACACTGAATTATATAAGTTTGCCAGGCCTGGTAGAGGTGATGCAGAACAGTAATTGTCTGAATCCTCACTTTCTACCCCCACCATGATAATCAATGTCCTAGCCTTCCATTTTTGCTGTTGTGCATGGAATTATACTTTGCTTCCTCTGCACAGTGCATTAGAGTGTTCTGCAAAATTCTTGACTTTGCATTGCTCAAATAATATGCTTTGTATTTTTTGAGAAAACCTGCTGTGATGAAGACTGAGATCTGCTAAATAACATCTGTACAGACACATGTGTGTGTCACTCACACTTAAAATCCTTGCAGCAATTTTGTTGTTCACACTCAAGCTGTATTTCATGTAAGTATCAATCCTATTGCTACAAGTTTCTACTAAGACATGAAGAAGAGTTAAAACTGATGTGCTTCATGTTGAGGCACAAAAATAAACAAAACATTTGAACTGCAGAAAAAGACACTCTTTGTTACAGTAGAATAAAAAGGCTCAACACAGACATGACTTCGCAATCTATAAAACTTTTCAAGAACAGCTGCATTTTACTCTGGGCTGATAAACTGCTTACTGAGACTAATAGAAAAATCCTGTCCGCTACTCAGCTTGATCTCTTTCCTCAACCTATTTTCTATGAGCATGCAGCTGTCTTGGTCTTAGGTCTACATGTCAGCAAAAATAAGCTTGGCACATTAACAAAGGAAGAACAACTACACAGGAAGTGGGGGTGATTCCTGTCCCTCTTCTTCCATCATTTCAGAGTACAGACTAAAGATTTATCAATAAAAGAATTAGGAAACCTTCAATTAACTTGGCTGATATGCTGTATAATTGACCAATGCTAGAAGTGTGGGCAACTTCTAGCCCTCCAGAAGTAGTTGGACTGTAATTCCCATCAGCATAGCCAATGGTGAGGGATGATGGGAGTTGCTGTCCAGCAACATTTGAAATGTCACAAGTTGCCCTTTGCCATGTCTATTATACATAGCAGGGACAATTTGCTAAGAAAATGAAGCACCATATGGGAGAGACCAACTCACACCCTCCAACATTTCCTAAAGGAAAAGTAGAAAATGTTTGTAATGTCCTTTTCCTCATACTGAGAATCAATGCCCCAAAACCTCCTGCAGCAGTACTCTGGACTGTCAATACTTCTACTACAATTGTATGCTGAGATTCTTTTTCTTTACAACAGGTTGTCTTCCTCCATCAATTTAAAAGCCAGGAGGCTGTTGTTTTTCCTCTTTAACTTAAAAGATATACTTAGAAAAACAAAATTGCCGGACAAATCACTAGTTCCAGGGTGGCCATGTATCGTCCTTTATAGAGGACAGTCCTCTGTTCTAGTTTATCTTTGATAGCTGAAAATGACTTCACAGTTTTATAGTCAGGACTGACCTCCTTTCTCACCTTTCTCTCTCAACTGTTTTATCTGTCTTCAGAACACCAAGCTCAGATTTCATCAAAGTATTACTTGCTCCCCCACTCAGCCTGCTTTCATTGACTTTTTATCCCTTGCCTAGGATCTGGATGACCACTAAGACAATTTCCTTCTTTTCTGCTTTCAGCTTAAGATTCTACCAGTTTTAACACTGCACATTCTGAAATGTGTTGTAACATTTGATCTTCAGGGACCTAGATTAATTGTCAGGCTGAATTTAGACATTTCTTTTAGATAATAGTATTGCTACTGAAAACTCCAGTGAGTCATCTTGTAATTAATGGCTAACATTGACCCCAGTTCTAACACAGCAGCAGTTCTATGATTAATCCCATCCAATTTATATATTCTTCTACATGTAAAAAATGGGGTATTAAAATGACATTTAGTTCCATGTGGCTCATTCTATGTCTGCCTGTAACAGACTGCAATGGTGTATGGAGCAACCAGTTCCAACATGAAGAGCGAGATATTGGTTCAGTGGCGAAGATATATTTACACAACATACCTATACATGGACATTCCAGTCATTATGATAGATATTACAGGAACAAAAAAATGCCAA